TTCATCACTTCAGTTTTGCAGGATATAAACCGTGCCATTTGTAAATTGGGAAAACATCAGATCACACGATTTAGATGAGATTAGATAACGTAAGGGCAGAGGAGATATCTAGGGTTGATAGACACCCAAATTTCTCAAAAAAGAATATATGACAATGCCCATTGAAGTTATAGGGGATATTTGCATTGCCTGTGATAGCATTAAAAGTGATAAAAAAATAAATAAATAATAAAAAGGGACAGTGTGAAAATAATAAAAAAATATAAAAAGCACCCTCACCCCTCTCCCCCCCTCCCCCGTGCGCGCGAGCGTTGACCCTGTGCCGTTATTGAAACAGTGGTTGTACCATGCATGTGCGGTATCACCATGAACGTCAGATCAAGGGCAGTATTTCTAGCACTAGACCTCCTCTGTAAATCTAAAATGGTAGCTTGTAAAGGCTTTTAAGCGTTGCCTATGGATATTAAAAATGTATGCAATTTGTCACCATTGCACAGGGCATGCGCAGTTTTAAAGCATGTCATGTTTGGTATCTATATACTTGGCATACCATCATCTTGTATATTTTACCAAACAATTGGCCAAAATATCGTGCTTTTGTGCATTAAAAAATAAAAAAATTTACTTTTTTTTTCAAAAAATTAGCGTTTGAAAAAAATTAATGCGCGAGTACTATGTGACAAAAAATTGCATTAAAAAGTGTCAGAAAAGGCTTGGTCTTCAGGTGGTTAGAAGAGTGAATGGTGTGTGGCAAAAATTTCTAATGCTGGGCATAAAATGCCCCCACCCCCCAAAACTACCCCTTTTTGGAAAGTAGACACCGCAAACTATTTGCTGAGAGGCATGTTGAATCAACAGAAGAATTTATTTTTTTACCACAAGTTTTTGGAAATTGGCAAAAAAAAAAACGTATTTTATTTTTTTTTTTTTTACACAAAAATTGTCACTTAAATGATTTATTGCTCACACATGCCATGGGTATATGTGTAATTACTCCCCAAAATACATTCTGCTACTTCTAGTATACTTTGAGTATGGGGGTACCACATGTGAGAGACTTTGGCAGTCTAGCCAAGTACAGGACCCCAAAATCCAATAAGCACCTTCAGGCTTTTAAAGAGCTTTATTACCTCATTACACTTCCTGACTACCTATCAAAGTTTCAGAGGCCCTGAAATGCCAGGATAGCACCTAACCCCCCCAAATGACCCCTTTTTGGAAAGTAAACACCCCAAGGAATTTGATAAGAAACACAGTAAGTATTTTGCTGATCTCGTTTGTTGCCACAAGGTTTTGGAAAATGAAGAAAACAAAAACATTTTTTTCTTTTTTTTTTTATATTTCAAAACCTTGTGAGAAAAAAATTAGATCTACAATATACTCACCATGCCTCTTTTTAAATTCCTTGGGGTGTCTACTTTCCAAAAAGGGTAATTTGAGGGGGTTTGGTGCTATCCTGGCATTTCAGGGTATTTCAGGGCCTCCGAAACTGTGATAGGTAGTAAGGAAGTCAAATGAGGAAGTTACGCACCTTCAGGCTTTTCAAAGTGGTCATTGGATTTCAGGCTCCTGTATGTGGCTAGGCTCCCAAAAAGTCTCACACATGTGGTATCCCCATACTCGGTAGAAGTAGCAAAATGTATTTTGGGGTGTAATTCCACATGTGCCCATGGCTTATGTGAGCAATATATCATTTAAATGTATTTGTAATTTTCCAAAACTTGTGAAAAAAAAAAAAAAATCTTCCCTGATCTCAATATGCCTCAGCAGATAGCTCTTAGGGTGTCTACTTTCCGAAAAGGGGACATTCGGGGGTGTTTGTACTGTCCTGGTACTTTAGCACCTCAAGAAATGTGATAGGCAGTCAGAAAGTAAAAGCTGTGTAAATTCCATTATCTATACCATAGTTTCTAGATGTGATAACTTTCTCACAAAGCAATCAACATCACTTATTGGGATTTTTTTAACCAAAAACATGTAGCAGAATAAATTTTGGCCTACATTTATGACAAAATCTGAGTTTTTTGTTTATAGCTCCAAAAATAAAAAGCGCACAGGTGATCAAATACCACCGAAAGAAAGCTCTATTTGTGAGGAAAAAAAGAACGTAAATTTAATTTATGTACCATATTGCATGACCGTGCAATTGTCAGTTAAACTAGTGCAGCGCTGTATAGCAAAACAATGGCGTAAATTGCAGTATCTATACCATAGTTTGTAGACACTATAAAACTTTCACACAAAGCAGTCAATATACACTTATTGGGATTTTTTTTTTTAACCAAAAACATGTAGCAGAATACATTTTGGCCTAAATTTATGACTAACTTTGAGTTTACTATATATATTATTTATAGCCGAAAGTAAAAAATTCAATTTGGTCTTTTTTTTATTTATAGCGTGAAAAATAAAAAGCGCACAGGTGATCAAATACCTTCGAAAGAAAGCTCTATTTGTGTGAAAAAAAGGACATAAAATTTTGTTTTGGTACAGCATTGCATGACTGTGAAATTATCAGTTGAAATAGCGCAGCGCCGAATAGCAAAAAGAGGCCTAGTCATTAAGCGGGGTAAATCCTCAGGATGGCAAGTGGTTAAAGAGCTTTATTTCCTCATTACTCTTCCTGACTACCCATCATAATTTTGGAGGCCCTGAAATGCCAGAGTAGTACAAATACCCCCAAATGACCCCTTTTTGGAAATAGACACCCCAAGGAATTTGATAAGAAGCATGGGTATTTTGCAGATCTTGTTTGTTGCCACGTTTTTGGAAAATGAAGAAAGAAAAAAATATTTTTTCTTTACTATTTTTCAAAACCTTGTGAGAAAAAAAATTAGATCTGCAAAATACTCTCCATGCCTCTTATTAAATTCCAATATCCATACCATAGCTTGTAGCCACTAACACAAACCAATTAATAAACAGTTATTGGGATTTTTTTTACCAAAGACATGTAGCAAAATACATTTTGGCCTAAATTTATGATGAAATATGAGTTTATTGGATATTTCTTATAACAGAAATGAGAAAATATCTTTTTTTTTTTCTAAATTGTCGATTTTTTTTGTTTACAGCGCAAAAAATAAAAAGTCCGGAGGTGATCAAATACCACCAAAAGAAAGCTATATTTGTGTGGAAAAATTTACATAAAATTCATTTATGTAAACACTGCATGACTGCGCAATTGTCAGTTAAACTAGTGTAGCGCCATATAGCAAAAAATGGCGTAAATTGTAGTATCTATACCATAGTTTATAGACGCTATAAACTTTTACACAAACCAATTAATATACACTTCTTGGGATTTTTGTTTACCAAGTCATTTATGATTAAATTTTTTTTTTTTTATAGGATATGTTTTATAGTAGAAAGGTCAAAAATATTGTTTTTTTTTTTTCCTCAAAATTGTTAGTCTTTTTCCGTTTATAGCACACAAAAAAAACGCGCAGAGGTGATCAAATACCACAGAAAGAAAGCTCTAGTTGTGGGAAAAAAAATAACAAAATTTAATTTATGTACAACATTGCATGACCATGCAATTGTCACTTAAAGTAACAGTGCCATATCACAAAAAATTTCCTGGCCATGAAGGGGGTAAAATCTTCTGAAGCTGAAGTGGTTAAAATGCATGTGTTGTAATTCGTCACAACAACTATAGTCAGGAATTCAGTAAAGTCCTATAGTTTTTTTTTTAAATTGTTGGTCTTTTTTGTTTACAGCAAAAAAAATAAAAAACCCAAAGGTGATCAAATACCAGCAAAAGAAAACTCTATTTGTGTGGAAAAAGGACATAGATTTTGTTTGGGTACAGCATTGCATGACCGTGTGGACCAGTTGAAATAGCGCAAAGCAGAACGGCAAAAAATGGCCTGGTAAGGAAGGGAGGGTAAATACTCTGGAGGGCAAATGATTAAACAGAAAATCTATACAAAGTGCAAAAAACATAGTGGAAATATACATATGTAAAATGTTTTACTTGCCAAAACATTTGCAATGCTTTTTAGCTAACCTAATGATTTGCACACTCCTGTCAAGCTGCACAGCCAGGCAGAGAAAACCACTATTTAATTTTTCAGCTTCTTATGGCATATCTAAACCTAGTAACAAAAAAATAACACCATTGCAGCTTATGGGTTCACAGATGTGGTGGTTGCATTCATTTTCTTTTTTCAAACTTTTCTTCCCTTATTTTCACCTTGTAATCTTGCTATTAACACTTCCTGGGGCGACAACTGTATTGAGAAGCCTTGTCACCCTAGGACAGGGAGTATATTAAGGCTCCATAACACTGTTAGGGCTACATATTCCTCCCTCTCTTCTCCCTAAAAGGTGGAGGCATTTTGTTGTCCACAGAGAGAGCAGAGAACAATGCTAACTGATACCAGTTTTTCTTTGCAATTGTCAGATATAATAACATACTTTCAATTTAGCAGGCCATAAAAGAAGTTTATCGCAAATAATAAATCCACAGTGCAATAATTCATTGTCTGGTCAGCAGCAAGTTGTACTGTAGGGACAAAAAAAAAAAAACAGACAGATCTAGAAGGCTGAACTACGCAAGGCTTAGGATAAAGTCAAGTTGAAGAGATAAAAGTTGATTTTGAAGAAAATGGAAACGAAGAAATATTGTGGCAACCATAAATATATAGGTCTATGTGACTTTCAAGTGCAGCAAAAAATGTGAGATTCCATTAGATTCAGACTGCAGAAAAAAGGGTGTGAGAGACCTGCGACTCTTTATAAAAAAAAAAAAAAAAAAAAAGGTGGTGGTGGGAGATGAGAAGCTTTCTGTGTTACTTCTAATTGGGGAATCTCACTTTTTGTGGATATATTGTTTATTAAAGTAGAGAGTGTGTACATTTACTATGACTACCGTGCACAGACTAAATGGTAGTTTGACATCAATGATTGCATTCACCAAAGCAGTAAGCAACAAATAATCACCAAGGCAAAAAAAAGAAATGGATGCCACTGTCCATATGCATATTTTTTAAACTTACATCTTGAAACATTTTGTGCTCTTGCTTTATTCGTTCATCTTTATCATCAGACTGTTTGAAAGCTTTTTCAAATGACCCTTCAACTTCTTTGAGCCTGGACTGTAGTCGGCTGATTGCATTTTCCTTTTCCTTGCTCCTTGTTCTCATTTCCTCAATGTGCTCTTGCAGATTTTTTTGAAGAATTGCTGGCACTGTAGTACCGTTCTTTCCACTCAGCCTAGAAAATGTTTGCAAAATATTGTAAATATAATAGAAGTATGTTTCTTTACAATTTCATCTTTATTATATTCTTAGATTAACAAAAAGAGACACGGTTGCCAACACAGTGACTGTCTACAAAAAAAGATATTTTGCCACCCAATAGGTCGGAGAAACTTTAACTTTAGCTTTTCATTTTTTGTGACCTGTAAACTTAAATCTTGCATGATGTAGGAAGCCATTAATACAATTCACACATACAGTTGCACAAAATAATTCTGCACTGCCTGAGATCACATAGATTTGTGCATGAATGGTTCATAAAATGTAAAAAGATCTTCATCGAATGGATAATAAATAATGAATACTTAATAAATAATTAATGAACAAATAAGTACATAATAATAAATTATTTACCATACAAAAAACACTTAAGTGTAGGCAACAGAAGGACGCAAGGTAGCAGAAGCTGCCTGCGCCCTAATAACGGATGGATGATAGGTGGCAGAAGCCTAGCAAAAGAAGGATAGTAGACGGCTTCCTTCTATCAATAGTGTGTAATCAGTGACGGAGGAGCTGCTGACTACACACTGTCAGCTTTGAGTAGCAGTAGTGGTCAACAGAGACCATTTATGATGTGAGCATGTAAGCAGTGCCTAAACGTTGAATGCATACAGAGCCCTCTTTCGCAGGATCTTGCTGACACTTTCTGCCAGCATACTAGTTGACATATTTTCATACAGCCGGGTGCATATACCTTAAGAAGGGATTAGCAGTGTGCTTTGAAAGCTGTGCTGAAAGCGTAAGTAACCATAAAAGTCTGTCTTTGATTTAAAAAAAATTCTGTTTCTGTTATCCACTGCCTACGCAAAAGAACTTTTAAAATTTTAGAGGACCTTTTTTAAAATGTAGAGATTAAAAGAAAAAACAAAAGTTGCTACAAATGCAGGTGTTCATCACACCACAGCAAGACAAATTATGTACAAAACTAGACATACTGTTGGATTGATTTACTAAAAGCAAAAAGAGTGTTACCTTAGAAAACACAGTGAGAAGTCCCTTTGCAAAGAAAACCCAATTTTGTGCAAGGAAAATAAAAAAATATATTTTTTTTTTGCTTGCACGTGACTGAACGATGAAAGACAGCAGAGCTTCACCTTATTCAATAACCTAAAAGAAAATTCCCTTGCAAAGAAAATGGCCTATTTAGTAAATCAACCTCTTTTTCCTACTTTTCTTAAAGTTTGCATCCTGCATTAAATATCAGGCTTGAAGGAACAAAAACACAGAATCTTCATCTTGACCGTGAAGCTCGATGGAGGGAGTATAAATGATTTGAGGCTGCTTTGCTACTTCAAGATTAGAAAAGTTTGCTTTTAGATGGAATGATGAATCTGAAATTGTATAAAGAAACTTTACAAAAAAAGATTTAGATGCCACACAATCACTGTGGGAGTATAGAGAGAGGTAATGTGAGCAGCACCCTGTACAAAAGTCTTTACTAAGGAGTGAGAGGCAAGCAGTCTCTGAAAAAGAAGCACCAAGCCTGAGATTTGATCCTTGATGGCACTCAGGTTAAAATCTTAATCCAGACCAATATAGAGAAAAGACAGGATTCATCCCACAAAAAACCTCAGAGTTAAAATATGCTTTCCAGGTGTAATGGTGGCCTTGGCAAGAAGTAAATTTATTAGCTCTTAAGAGAGTAGTGATAACCAACTCTAACAGACCCCTGTCCCTCAGGGTCTGGGCTTCAACAGACAGGCTTTTAAAGCAAGCAAACTTGAAGCAGGGTGGTATACCAGTCCATGGGACAGAAGATCCAGATGATCTTGTATGGCCTGGCCCACAGACAGTCTGCCAGGAGTCTGATGAGGTCCAAGTACCACATCTGCCTAGGTTTAGTGAGAAAAGGATCATGAGTAAGGTCCTCCATCACGATCCTGCAGCGCAAGCACAGAAGGAGTTTCAAAGGAGGAAATGCATAAATCAAGTTGAACTCCCATGGAGTTCAAACCCAGGCTGAATCCCATGGAGTCACCAGAGCATACAGTGCAAAGGCTAGAGCATATCTGGACCTGGAGACAAACCTGCTCAGTTTGTTGTTGAACCTGAAATCCAGGAGGTCCAAGTTTGCTTCTGCTTTTTTTAAGCTGCGGGAGTTTAGGTTCCTTCCTGACAGGTGATATAAGCCACTGCTGTGACATTATACAACCAAATCCTGGTCAGATGCCCTTGCAGTCAAGGTCCATCATAGAAGGGATAATCAAATCGAACCAAGCTCCATTTTATTATTCAGGAGACAAGCTTCTTCCAGCAACCAAATCCCCTGTACTGAAAGTCTATGTAGGACTCCTTCCCAACCTGACAGACTGGCATCTGTCATGAGAACCATCTAAACCAAATAGAAGGATGAATTCCCCCTGCTCCATAGGATATTGCTGAGAAAAAAACATTTGGGAGGTGTAAAGACTAACTGGACCAGTCACTAAACTTGCATTAAGGAGCACTTCAGAGTCAAATCCAAATACAGCGTAACTCTCCTTCCCACTACTGGCCATGCGACCAATATTAAAGCAGCAGGAATCCAGCAAATTACGCCCTGAGGAAACACCTAGAACCAAATATGTACCAGCAGGCTTCCTGTACTCAAAGGCAGGGGACTAATCACAGCAGTTGCAAAGCACACAGTGGCTGACTAGCACATTGTACACAGATGCTAGGTGAAAAATAATTTTGATAAGTAATGAAAGGTTTTGTTTCTGCCAGAGGAGAACAGAGGTATATTTTCCTAGACACTGCTAAAACCTGGGAGTGAGAGGTATTGTCCTTTTGTTGGCCAGTATGCAATCTCCTGACGGTAGCAGCATAATCCTCTGTTTCTGCATACATCTCCTGTGTCCCATAACATATGATTAAGGAAAACGTTATCAGAAACAATGCTATGGAAATATTCTAGAAGAATCCAGCAACTATGGATAAATTAAACCCCAAAGTAAATATTTACTATATTGCAGCCTGTCAATTCTTAGATGTCATAGCTGCATTCGTTTTTTTATAAGGATTTCTTTCTTCTATTTTCATCTGGTGATCCAGCCAGTAAGTCTGTTTTCAAAAGTAGCTCTCCAGCAGAATGTATCACAGTTACAGAGATGAGACACACCCATTTAACACTAGCAGGGTTACTCACAATGACCAGCTTTTATTTTTTTTTTTTTATGTAAATCCTTTATCCCAAAAGGAAAAATGCTGTTTACTGTAACAGCATACAAAGTATTAGCTGGAGTTTGGCTTCAGTTTGTTAATGTATTTAACTCTGCTAGTCCATCTAACACTCCTCACCCCCTAGACTCACAATGCTGCCGTGTAAAGGTGCCCCTTGTGCTCCTTAATTCAGAGTGGGGGGCCCTCCAATACAGGATTTGTGCTACTGACCACATCACTAGGTGAAAACAGAGGAAAAAGCCCAAGACGAAAACTAATGCAGCCAGTACATGTAATGATGATAATAAAAAAGTGTATGTAATGCTATTTTTATTTTTCAGTTTTGGATGCAGTAAGAAATGGTTAAGACAGTCACCAGTCACCACAGGGACACACAGAAAACCATTGTTGGAATCATTTGAAGTATTTGCATGAAGTCTCCGATTGCATATCAGAGGTATCAGGTGAACAAATGTTTACACACTTAACACCTCTTTTCAAAATTAATTTAGGTGTCCTATTAAAAGACTGTTTCTATAATTTCAATGGATATACAGTGCTTTTCTTATAGTTCTCAATATCCCACTTTTGCCTCTTAGTGTCCACAGTAGATGTCCTGCTTTAATCTTTCATTAAAAGCTCAGTTGATAAACATTAGCAACTGGAATCATACAGACTCATGAATAGTATAAATTTGTGAATGCAGATCCAGCAGCATTTACTCCTCATACAGTCAGGTCCATAAATATTGGGACATCGACACAATTCTAACATTTGTGGCTCTATACACCACCACAATGGATTTGAAATGAAACAAACAAGATGTGCTTTAACTGCAGACTGTCAGCTTTAATTTGAGGGTATTTACATCCAAATCAGGTGAACGGTGTAGGAATTACAACAGTTTGCATATGTGCCTCCCACTTGTTAAGGGACCAAAAGTAATGGGACAATTGGCTTCTCAGCTGTTCCATGGCCAGGTGTGTGTTATTCCCTCATTATCCCAATTACAATGAGCAGATAAAAGGTCCAGAGTTCAAGTGTGCTATTTGCATTTGGAATCTGTTGCTGTCAGCTCTCAAGATGAGATCCAAAGAGCTGTCACTATCAGTAAAGCAAGCCATCATTAGGCTGAAAAAACAAAACAAACCCACCAGAGAGATAGCAAAAACATTAGGCGTGGCCAAAACAACTGTTTGGAACATTCTTAAAAAGAAGGAACGCATCGGTGAGCTTAGCAACACCAAAAGACCCGGAAGACCACGGAAAACAACTGTGGTGGATGACCGAAGAATTCTTTCCCTGGTGAAGAAAACACCCTTCACAACAGTTGGTCAGATCAAGAACACTCTCCAGGAGGTAGGTGTATGTGTGTCAAAGTCAACAATCAACAGAACACTTCACCAGAGTGAATACAGAGGGTTCACCACAAGATGTAAACCATTGGTGAGCCTCAAAAACAGGAAGGCCAGATTAGAGTTTGCCAAACGACATCTAAAAAAGCCTTCACAGTTCTGGAACAACATCCTATGGACAGATGAGACCAAGATCAACTTGTACCAGAGTGATGGGAAGAGAAGAGTATGGAGAAGGAAAGGAACTGCTCATGATACTAAGCATACCACCTCATCAGTGAAGCATGGTGGTGGTAGTGTCATGGCGTGGGCATGTATGGCTGCCAATGGAACTGGTTCTCTTGTATTTATTCATGATGTGACTGCTGACAAAAGCAGCAGCATGAATTCTGAAGTGTTTCAGGCAATATTATCTGCTCATATTCAGCCAAATGCTTCACAACTCATTGGACGCCGCTTCACAGTGCAGATGGACACTGACCCAAAGCATACTGCAAAAGCAACTGAAGAGTTTTTTAAGGGAAAGAAGTGGAATGTTATGCAATGGCCAAGTCAATCACCTGACCTGAATCCGATTGAGCATGCATTTCACTTGCTGAAGACAAAACTGAAGGGAAAATGCCCCAAGAACAAGCAGGAACTGAAGACAGTTGCAGTAGAGGCCTGGCAGAGCATCACCAGGGATGAAACCCAGCGTCTGGTGATATCTATGCGTTCCAGACTTCAGGCTGTAATTGACTGCAAAGGATTTGCAACCAAGTATTAAAAAGTGAAAGTTTGATTTATGATTATTATTCTGTCCCATTACTTTTGGTCCCTTAACAAGTGGGAGGCACATATGCAAATTGTTGTAATTCCTACACCGTTCACCTGATTTGGATGTAAATACCCTCAAATTAAAGCTGACAGTCTGCAGTTAAATCACATCTTGTTTGTTTCATTTCAAATTCATTGTGGTGGTGTATAGAGCCAAAAATGTTAGAATTGTGTCGCTGTCCCAATATTTATGGACCTGACTGTATGTAACAAGCTGCATCAATTGAATAGAGCATGACCTCAAATCCATTTTTCATTCTGTAACAAATTGCTGTATGTCATAGTGGGTTTCTTTTTTTAATCTCACACCCCTAGAGATCATATTCCACCATTGTACTGCTTGAGACTCCTAAGATATCAGAAGAGAAGGAGCATAGTAAAGCATTATATGTAAAGTTCCCCAAATTTGACAGGTACCCACTCCCACTTCTGCGGAGTTGTCCTCCCTGTAGTGGGACATGCGACAAGTCCCAGAAGACTACAGGTTGCCATTCACAAAGCGCAGCACTTCTCGCGCATGCGCAGTGGGCACACGGCTGTAAAGCCGCAAGCTGTCATAGCCGGGTGCCCACACTGAAGATGCCGGCACCGGGAGAGAAGACGGCCGGTGAAAGCAGGACACCGCTGGACCGAGGAATAGGTAGGACCGAGGAGCAGGCTCTTCTGCACAATAGAGCTGAGCGGCCGGCCCGGTATTCTAACATGGCGGCGGTGGAAATACTGGGCCAGCAGCTCCACATTCTCTCCATAAGACGCACAGACATTTACCCCCCATTTTTTGGGGGGGGAAAAAGTGCGTCTTACGGAGCGAAAAATACAGTATACAGTCATGGCCGAAATTGTTGGCACCCTTGATATTTCTCCAGGAAATCATGTATTTCTCACGAAACGTATTGCATTAACACATGTTTTGCTATACACATGTTTATTCCCTTTGTGTGTATTGGGACAAAACAAAAAAAGGGAGGAAAGAAAGCAAATTCGACATAATGTCACACAAACCTCCAAAAATGGGCTGGACAAAAGTATTGGCACCCTTTCACAACTGCGGATAAATAAGAATGTTACAAGCATGTGATGCTCCTGTAAACTCACCTGGGGCAAGTAACAGGTGTGGGCAATATAGAAATCACACCTGAAAGCAGATAAAAAGGAGAGACGTTCACTTAACCTTTGCATTGTGTGTCTGTCTGTGCCACACTAAGCATGGACAACAGAAAGAGGAGACGAGAACTGTCTGAGGACCTGAGAACCAAAATTGTGGCAAAATATCAACAATCTCAAGGTTACAAGTCCATCTCCAGAGAACTAGATTTGCCTTTGTCCACAGTGCGCAACATTATCAAGAAGTTTGCAACCCATGGCACTGTAGCTAATCTCCCTGGTCGTGGACGGATGAGGAAAATTGATGAAAGATTGCAACGCAGAATAGTCCGGATGGTGGATAAGCAGCCCCAAACATGTTCCAAAGACATTCAAGCTGTCCTGCAGGCTCAGGGAGCATCAGTGTCAGCGCGAACTATCCGTCGACATTTAAATGAAATGAAACGCTATGGCAGGAGACCCAGGAGGACCCCACTGCTGACACAGAGACATAAAAAAGCAAGACTACAGTTTGCCAAAATGTACTTGAGTAAGCCAAAAGCCTTCTGGGAAAACGTCTTGTGGACAGATGAGACCAAGATAGAGCTTTTCGGTAAAGCACATCATTCTACTGTTTACCGAAAACGGAATGAGGCCTACAAAGAACAAAACACAGTACCTACGGTAAAATATGGTGGAGGTTCAATGATGTTTTGGGGTTGTTTTGCTGCCTCTGGCACTGGGTGCCTTGACTGTGTGCAAGGCATCATGAAATCTGAGGATTACCAAAGGATTTTGGGTCGCACTGTAGGGCCCAGTGTCAGAAAGCTGGGTTTGCGTCCAAGATCCTGGGTCTTCCAGCAGGACAATGACCCCAAACATACGTCAAAAAAGCACTCAGAAATGGATGGCAAAGAAGCGCTGGAGAGTTCTGAAGTGGCCAGCAATGAGCCCAGATCTAAATCCCATTGAACACCTGTGGAGAGATCTTAAAATTTGCTGTTGGGAAAAGGTGTCCTTCCAATAAGAGAGACCTGGAGCTGTTTGCAAAGGAAGAGTGGTCCAAAATTCCGGGTGAGAGGTGTCAGAAGCTTATAGGAAGCGACTGATTTCAGTTATGTTTTCCAAAGGGTGTGCAACCAAATATTAAGTTAAGGGTGCCAATACTTTTGTCCAGCCCATTTTTGGGGTTTTGTGTGACATTATGTCATATTTGCTTTTCTGCCTCTGTTTTATATTTGTTCCAATACATACAAAGGGAATAAACATGTGTATAGCAAAACATGTGTTAATGCAATACCTTTTTTGTGTGAAATACTTGATTTTCAGGAAAAATATCAAGGGTGCCAACAATTTCGGCCATGACTGTATATCACCATTGCATTAATTTTTTATGAGTGTTGTGGGTTTTCTATATTTGTCATTTTGGAGCTGTTGAACATTTATTGTATCATGTTTTTCGTTTTTTTAAGTGCTACACTTATTTCAATTATTGCATGTAAGTGGATGGTGGGGACCATTTTTCAGTGCTGACTTACTGAGAGGTAAGGCCATACAGTGCACAGAGGTTTTGTGTGTTTTTCACTTGTATTCAGCTATGATTAGGGCCTGGATTGTTCAAAACACATAAGCATGGAGTTGTTTTATTCTGTTAGGTAACTAACAAATGACTTCTGTGGATTTGAACAGTATGCTGACATTTTGGACAATGTTTATAATGCACTGACATGGAACTTCCCCTGTGGTTGAATCTGCCATTGCTAGCTCATGTGTGCGGATCTTTCTACCAGTTGTTTCTCTAAAGAAAGTTGGGTGCAAATAAATGGTACAATGGATGGAGATTTGGTAGTAAATAAGACTAACTTATGCAGTGCTTTAGAATATTCCATGCACTTTGGAGCAATATTGTTCATTATTCCATGTATTACTATGTCAGAAAAAAACAGTACTGTATATACATTTATATATAATTCTTACCACTTGTTTTTCCAAATCACTATTTTTTTGTTCTCAAGCATATAGATTTGTTTACTGGCTTCTGCCAAAGCTTCTTCCATATTAGCACACCTAAAGAAAAAATTTCAAGAATTTTAGTATGCAAGTAAACTGGACAAATTATAATAAAGCTCTTGCATATAGTGACCAGATACAAAATCACATTTTCCTAACGCAAACTGGAGAATGAAAGCCAACATGGAGAACAGTCCTGATTGCCCACTTCATTCATTTTCATTAAATCAGTCCCACATTAAGGAAAACAGGAACAATTGCCAGTTCAAATAATATGATCGGTTTCTAGAACATTTCCCTAACACAGTAACAAACATCTGATTTAGCGGTTTATAGAAAAGGGTATAGCTGCCAAGAGATCAAATTCATTCTCATACAGAATTCTATGCACGTATTACAAGCCAGATACAGACATTAAACACTGTACAGACTTTAAGGCTGACCACATTAAAGAACGGTCAGAAATGCAAGCACAGCCAAACTACCCTGAAAGCTATCAAATAAAGCATGATGTAAACTTGTAAGCATGGTTCAGGGAAATATAAAAGTATTTTCAATAGAACAGGGCAAGAAAGGGGTGCTACCATGGCTTTTCAGTCTAGAAAAAAAGAAATGTTCAAAAGAAAGTTTTCAAAAACTCCTAATTCATGGCTTTGACATTGATAGCAAGTGGCCACCAGGCAATTCACAGCACAAAATGGCTAGATCAGTCAGTTGTCTTCTCATGTCTATGTGCTCCTACTCTGCCAGGGGTCTTACAAGAAGGAATATCAAATGCCTGTCTAGGCATTTGATATTACTTCTTTTTGAATTTTGGTAGAGTAAGGTATTACAACACCATCAAACAATTGGTGATAGAATAGGTACTGAAAGGAACACAACAGCGGAGAGCAAAAAAAACCTTTTGCAGCTGAGAGGCTGGCAAATACATACTGTATGATCATTCCCAGGGGTTTTTTTTTTCCTCAGAGAACAAGTGCAGGAACTACCCCCTTCTGAGTCAGTCCTTAGATCGCCCCCATTCCCACTTCTGAGCAGTCCTTTGCTTCTATCCCCTACCCACCTTCCAGTACCGCTCCTTGCAGAAAATACAGAACCAAGTACCATTTTGTGGTGCTAAGTAATTTGTATTGAATTTGTTAAGAACAAGAAAAGCTGTAAAATAGGGCCAGTGGCAATAGACTCCCCAGCAACAATAGATTAATGGACCCCTGCAACAAAATACCACCCCAACAACAGACCCCCCCGCAGCAACAACAGATGTCCCAACAGCTACCATCAATAGACTCTCCAGAAACAAGCAACAGACCCCCCCCCCCCCCAACACTAGATCACTTCCAGCAGCAACTGACCCCCCAGCAACAAGAGATCTCCCACCAGCAACAACAAACATCCCCAGTAACAATAGGAGGCCGCGCAAAAATAAATCCCCTCCAGCGACAATAGCTTCCCCAGCAGCCAGCATCAATAGATCTTCCAGAACACCGCAGTACCCCTTGCCATTACATGGAATTTGTGCAAGGTGCAGGAACTGAAAAAAGCCCTGCTCAGTTCTAAAAAAAAAAAAAAAAAAAAAAAAAAAAAATGTTGGAGTATATTACTGCTCAGTCAAGCTGTTCATCTTCATCAGATCCTCCGAGGTAGTAGTAGATTTGTTATTGGCTACAAGCTGCTGCTTCAGGTTACTGATTTCTGATTCATAGTAGTCTCGTAGGTCAGCCAAGTGGCGTGCATGTTTTTCTCTTAAACTCCGTCTGATACTGAAAAGAAGAAATATGTAATCAACGTTTTAGTAGCTAGCAATGGCAAAAGACAATTACAGGCTTAAAAATAAAGCTAAAAATACAAGAGCAATTTCAGGCAAAAAAAAAGTGAAAATTCATATTAAGGCTGCTAACCCCCACTAGAATCTATACATATACCCAATTCTTATTTACATTCAAAAATTATATAATCAAAAATTATATATTAGTGCTATACTAAATGTGTTGTACAAACAAATAATAATCTATAGGACTGGCTGCTGCTCCTACATAGGGTTCTGAACCCTCACAGATGATAAATGATAAATACTTAATGTACGCGCTGTCTAATCAAAAACGGAAAATTGAATGACAGATACTTACCGTAAATTTTCCTTTCCTAATGAGCTCCATGTCAGCACAGCTGGGTAAGGTTGCTTCCAGAACCTAATGCAGATTTTTTTTATCGGTAAAGTTGGGAAAAAAAATCAGCCGATTTTGCCAATCAGCCGATTATCGCGGCAATGATGGGCAAATCGGCCGATCTTTTTACCGATAAAAAAAAATCTGCGCATGAGCAGTGACCAGGAAGAGAAGAAGAGGAGGAGGAAGAGGAAGAATAGGAGGAGGAAGAGGAAGAGAGGAAGGAGGAAGAGGAAGAAGAAGGAAGGAGGAAGAGGAAGAAGAGGAAGGAGGAAGAGGAGGAGGAGGAGCTGTGGACAGGATGAAAATCGGGCGATTTTTTTTTTACCGTTGCTGGTAACGTCGGCCGATTGAACGACCGATTTTTTTTTCGTTTTTTTTAAACAAAAATCGGCCGATTTTCGACCCATCTATGGCCTGCATAACTGATAAATGTGAGCCCACCTGCAGCTTCAGCATTCTGTAACTAGTCCTACCAAGCTGGGTGGGAATTGTGCTGACTTGGAGCTTGTCAGGAAAGGAAAATTAAGGTAAGTATCTGTCATTCAATTTTCCGTTGCTAGATATCCAGCATGATATTTTTCCCCATTGAGATCTGATATGTTTTCAAAGTGTTCCTTTAATTTTGTTTGAGCAGTGTGTGTATATATTTTGACGCCCACGTGGCTGCCTTGTAGATAGTGTTTGGGAACACTCAACCTGCTGCCGCTCACAAGGTTGAGACCCTTCAAGTGGACAGTGATGCGATCCCACTAGTACAGCCAACCCTTCAACTTGAAGGCCAAAAAGATGAGCTTCACCAACCAAGAGGCAATAATCTTATTGGAAGCCGTGAAATCATTACACACTCCACCTGGAATGACAAACAAGTGCTCCGACTTCTTGATGCCAGATGTCGCCTTGATGTAACATTTTAAAACTTGGCCCATGACTGATAGGCTAACTTCTTGGGTACTCCCCAAGAGGGACGTAGAATGGATACCTTTTTGTGTGATATGGTGATGAAGCACGATCTTGAGCATCAGCCTAACAACCAGTCCAGGATGAATGTAAGAAAGAGTTCTTTAAACCCCAGGGCCGCTAATACGGAGACCCTTCTGGTTGATGCCATTGCCACTAGGAAAGCAGCTTTCAGCGAGAGGTACCACAGGGGGCCACTTTGATTGAATGCATCTGATGCAATCAAGTCCAACACCAATGAGAGATTCCAGTTCACAAAACAATCCCTTAGGTAGGTTTCAACCAAGTTGCAGCTTGAAGAACAGTATAATTGAGTGTTGGATGCCCACTGTAAGCCAGTGAAGGCAGATCTAGCTGAAATGTGGGCCCATAGCGTACTTATGCATAAACCTTCAGTGTCTTGAAAAAGTACTCATACTCCTTTAAATTTTCCAAATTTTGTCATGTTACAACCAAAAATGTAAATGTATTGTATTGGGATTTTATGTGATAGACCAACACAAAGTGGAACACAATTGTGAAGTGGAAGGAACATTTTCGGATGACTGATTGAACAGTGCTCTGTGAGATATTCAAAGCTTGGGCTATTTTTTTTTTATAACTTAACCCTGCTTTACACTTCTCCACAATTTTATCCCTGACCTGTCTGGTGTGTTTCTTGGTCTTCATGATGCTGTTTGTTCACTAATGTGCTCTAACAAACCTCTGAAGGCTTCACAGGACAGCTGTATTTATATAGAGATTAAATTACACACAGATGGATCTTACTGGCAGAAGGAGTGGATCCTTGACACTCATTAGGAGAGGCAGAGGTTACCATGTCCCCTTTGACCAATCTGGGATTACCACAAGAACTATCACCCTCCCCTGCCACAGCCTCAGCAGGCAGCTGCAAATCAGAGGGAGAGTCAGAAAGTCATAAGCTGTCTTGGAGATCCATTCTGTGATCAGCACCACCACCCCAATTGCTTGTAGATGCTAGACCATGGAATAGAACTTAAGCTATTTGGTGTTGACTGGGGATGTGAACAGGTCTACCTCTGGAAGAAATTACCAAGCCCGTTAACTCTCGAAAGACTTGCGGCAATCTGTACCATTCATTATCGTCCAGGATTGTCCTGGACAAATAGTTTGTCTAAATATTCTTCCGACCAGCACATAGGCTGCAGATAGCTGCATGATATTGACTTGGGCCTACTCTAGAATCTGAGAAAGCTCCTTCAGGAGGGAGAAACTGAGTGCCCCCTTGTTTCCGGATGTAGGCCAGTCTTTGTGATGTAACTTCACCAGGACAGGTCCACCCTGGATGAAGTGACTGAAGACCAAAAGCCTGAAATTCCGTTCTTAACTCCAGGATGTTGGACACTAGCTTGGACCCTTGAAAAAGGCCATTGGTCCTCAGCCCATTGCTCCTGAGTTAGGGCTCTCCAACTACTTTGCTGGTGTCTGACTGCACTACCAGCCACTAGGTCATCAGATGGGAATGTGACATGAAGTTTAGGCATGTGCATAGTAACCAATCAGCTTTTAAATTCAGCTTGTACAATTAGGCTGGCCACACATTATACAATTTTCTTGAGAATTTTGCTTTAGATTTACCAAAAACTATATAATAGGAGGTCAAACCTAAACAACACATTCAATTGTATCCAATTAGGCAGGCCCTTGCACTACATAGTTGAAGGTAAATATAAAGGAAATTGGGCAGAAACTGGACAGAAAATTGAAAGAAAATTGTACAGTGTATGGCCAGCCTTATGCTTTGGCAATAAAACCTAGAAGCAGATTGGTTACTATGCACAGCTAAAACAGATTCCATGTGCACCAGTTTTAGTAAATCTTCCCCAATGACTTCTTATTTCCTTACAAACATCTGACCCACAGATTTCTGATTCATATAGCATGCACATCCACTTTTAGCACATGTCAGGCAAACTGCACAGGGCCAGCTTTTTTCAGATAAGGATAGTGAATAAAATAATAATTTCCAAACTAATTGTTTTTTGAAACTTGGAGGACATTTAATAAGATCTTTTTCCCTTCATATCAATGTTTGCATGGTTGAACAAGAAGGTTTAATATGGTATAGCAAGCTCGCTACATAGATGGCAAGACACTGCAGACATAAATATAATTTAGCAATATACTGTAATGAACGTTAAACAAGCACCTACTTGGAAAGCATCACAGGGTGATCCACAGAGAGGACACCAGAAGGGTGGGATATACTTTCTTCCGCAGCTGGCAATGGTGACTGAGGTATAGAGGAAGGAGTCAAGCTATTGACATCATCCTCAGTACAGTTCATCCTTTCATCAACACTAGCATCTCTTTGACATGGCTGGTAGTTTATATTCCTACTTGTTTGATATCTACTAGATTTCCACTGCTCAGCATCTGCCACTGGGCTGTGAGTAGATCTGTTTGGTGAATCCAACAGTGATGAGGCAGCAGACAAAGATTCTTCATCATATTGCTTGTATGGAGCACTTTCCAAAATAGAGTCTGGGGTTAAAGGAGCTGTGTAGCCATCATTACACAGATTACCACCATGAAGATGCTTTTTGTGTAGAGTTGGATCCAATGTTAATATCTGAACAGAAAAAAATGCTTTTTCTAAGTTCATTTCAGTAGAAGTATTAGGAAAAATTGTGAAAACATAACATACAGTACAGAGCTTTGAATTACAGGCAAATATAAAGAAGCATCCAACTGGCTGCTTTATGCATTTCTATAATACCCATGAATTCAACTAGCATAATTAGCTAAAAATGGTCTGTAGGATTAGCCACATACTAGATGAAAGTAAAAATCAGGCTTCGCTCGTGTGTGTGCGTGTACTGTACTGTACTGTGGGAGGCAAAAAGGGACTGTCCTGGGCTTGCAGCAGAGAAAGAATTCATGTGAGTGAGCAGTGAAATGAAAATAAGCTGAACTGTCGGCAGAGTTAATTTCATTTAGATGTATTCCTCATTTGACCAAAGGATATAAAATGTAATTACCAAGCTACCAGTGTATTTGTTAAAATAAATGATGTTGCCTTGATAAAATAGCTGTGACATTATCACAGGCCAAAGATAGCCTGTGCATAGAAAGCAGATGTGTGGGTTTCTTCTAGTGACATCGGCCTAGTGAAAAAACTATTTCTACCACGATTCCCACCTCTGCATTCATTATTTATGATATCGTTGGCTCTTTTTCAGATGACCTCTATCGAGCTGTTTTGACACACAATGGTTGGCCTAAGTGATTACAAATAGATGTGCCACCAAGAATGATGGGCAGTGAGACATGTATCCCTCCTGGAACAAATCACCCTCCTCTGGACTTTGCCTAACTTATCTTCCTAACCATTCAATACTCGAATACAGTGTTTTTGCAAAGAGATTTTGCAGCATACTGGAAAACCTCTACGTATAATATTGATCACTTTCAACTGCAGAAGTGCCAATTACATCTACATAGCCTAAGCCTTGCAAGTAATAAAGAAATCAATCCATCACTTTATCAGACTGTAAAAGGCCAACCTAAAGCCTGCTATACACAGTTTGAATTCTGATTGCTGGCGAATCAGCTGACATGGCGGCCCTGTGGGTGGACCTGTTGGTACCACTTGACAAAAGTCAACTTTTTACCCAACGTTTGCCAAGAGGTGGGTGGAAAATTGCAACCTAAACAGTGACTGGTTCCATTAGAGAATTGTTATTGGGCACAATTTCAGAGCATATGGACATATCACGTATACAGTTAAGGAAATAAGTATTTGATCCCCTGCTGATTTTGAACGTTTGCCCACTCACAAAGAAATGATCAGTCTAAAAAATATTGTAACACTGAGAGACAGAATAACAACAAAAAATTCAAAAGAAATGCATGTCTAACAAATTATGCACGGATTTGCATGTTTATGAGAGGGAAAAAAGTATTTGATCCCCTATCATTCAGCAGGATTTCTGGCTACCGGGTGTCTTTCATACAGGTAACAAGCTGAGATTAGAAGCAGTCTCTTAAAGGGAGTGCTGCCAATCTCATTTTGTTACCTGTATAAAAGACTCCTGTCCACAGGAGCAATCAATCAGATTCCAAACTCTCCACCATGGCAAAGACCAAAGAGCTGTCCAAGGATGTCAGGGACAAGATTGTAGACCTATACAAGCATGGACTGGGCTACCAAACTATCGCCAAGCAGCTTGGTGAGAAGGTGACAACAGTTGGTGAAATCATTTGGAAATGGAAGAACCACTCAACAACTGTCAGTCTCCCTAGGTCTGGTGCACCATGCAAGATCTCACCTCATGGAGTGTCAATGATCATGAGAACAGTGAGGAATCATCCAAGAACTAGATGTGAGGATCTTGTCAATGATCTCCAGGCAGCTGGGACCACAGTCAGCAAGAAAACCATTGGTAACACACTATGCCGACAAGGATTGAAATCCTGGACTGCTCGCAAGGTCCCTCTGCTCAAGAAAGCACATGTCCAGGGATTTGCCACCAAGTATTGTCATGTTTTGTGAAGGGGATCAAATACTTATTTCCTTCACTGTAATCACAAAAACCCTACAGCCGCTCACACCATAGAAATGCAGTCCAGGTGCGTTCCAGATGCATTTCTGCATGCACAGTTTTAATGCGTTGCGGTGCATTTTTGATGCGTTGCGGTTCTTTTTTTACCTCTTTTTCTTCCATTTAAATAGGGACATGTGAGTTCCAGTCCGTTTTTGGTGCATTTTACTGTGTTCCAGTACAGTTCTATACAGGAAAAATACAGCCGGTTTTACTTTTTTTCTGCAACCGGAACACACTGGAACTGCAAGCACTGATATGAACTATGACATTGACAAACATATAACCTACTTTCTGTGCGTTTTGGATGCAGAAAAAAAGCACACAAATGTATGTAGTGTGAACTAGTCCTTAATCCATTAGTCCTTTGTTAGTGCTTCAAAAACTTAGGCTAGCATAATGATTACCTCTGGAGGGTGAGTGTGTTCAGAAGGAGGGAGTGGTTCCCAGGCAGGCCGCTGTGCATATTCTCTTTGCTTCCGATGATATATATCTGTGAGAGATGGAATCCTTGCTTCATCAGGCTTAGAAATACGGAAAAAAATATTTTAATAAAGTGTAATACACAGTAACAATTAAAACTAAAACTCCACTGCAACATACTGATTTTTTTTTTGCAAGAATAATAAATACAAATTTTTCTTTTTTCATCTAGCAAATTTATCCTCTGATCTTTTCCCTTGCTCATGCTGTTCTCTGGGAGCTGTAATGAAATTATTAACAATTCTACAAGTCCAGGCAGAGGCAACCTGCAAACATGGAACTCTGTATACTGTGATATGCTAAAGAAACCCTTTTGATGGGCATATCCTGATGCGCCTATCATATCATACTAAAATGTTTTCATAGGGCACCCTGCATTAGCTGAAAACCTAATTTTCACATTCATTCTTCTTCTATGGCTATTATGACAAGGTACTTTCTCTGCCTACTGTATTTCAAAAAGTTTACCTAAATGGGAGTGCAGCAGGGGCAATGAGACTCTGTTTTAAGAGGAAGAGATCAGAGCTTTGAACTATAAGTGGAAGGATCTTACTGTTGAAGTTAAAAATAGGTATTAAAAAGAAACTGCATGATTCTACTAAAAATCTAAATGTTGCCTTGGCTTGCTCCTTGCCAGGTCTCTAAAGAAATCCAACAACCCATCCAACCCCTACAAGATTCAGCAGTGTTGTAGGGGTAGGAGGAAGGATCCAAAGAACACAGCAGGGATACAGGCATCAGACACTTCTGGAAGTGTCAAATGTAAAACTGATGGAGACTACAGCTCTGGAATGGAGTGGAGGTAAGAGTCACAGGCCACCCACTGAGTGTACCTCTACTCTTGCAGAGACCCGTTTGGATTTCATTAGGGAGCTAACAGGTTCTCTCTTCTCTCCCTCAAAATAGAAAAACTACTAAAATTTGTGGGTTAGAACTGAAGGGCCGGCAGACCTTCTTTCATGAGAAAATAGTATATAAAATCAAAACGCAATATTTTTGGCTTTCCTTATGTATGCATACCTCTTTGGTGTGAAAGATTTTGGAAACTCCAGTTTCAAGGTTGTCAGGCAAAGGATGATATAAGTCCTTTTCATCCAACATCCAGTATGTAAACCCTGCTCAAAATAATCAGAGCTGTAATGTATTGAGAAAGACACTGCTATTTTTAACATTGTTGAATATCCCCAACACTAATCATATATTATGGACTTCAGCTTCTCCTCTTGCCATCACAAATGTGGACATTCTAACGTGGATTTATATAATGCATTTTGGGCACACCCCAAGCAATTCTGGGTTGTAGTAGTATGCTATGCTAACACGCATCTAGTATACTATTTGCCATCATCTCTGAAATGGGTGCTTTTTGTCCTATCAGACAACTCTAGAGATAAAATTTTCTGAAAACGACTTCTTACCATCCTACCATCATCATATGCTTTGTAGTGAAAAGGCATTGTGCATAAATGGATATATTCTGCCACCATCTATTTCATTATCCATAGAAAAACTAACTTTTTTATTTGGCATGAATTTATCCAAACTTTAACTACTGATACTCAATAATCCCTAGCACAAGGAGTCAGATATACTCATAGTTATTTAGCCTAAATCTCTAAAATGCACCCCCCTCTCCCCCACAAGACATCATTTAAAATACACTGCTCAAAAAAATTAAAGGAACACTTTTTAATCAGAGTATAGAATCAAGTCAGTTAAACGCCTGGGATATTGATCTGGTCAGCTAAGTAGCAGAAAGGGTTCTTAATCAGTTTCAGTTGCTTTCATGTTCATGAAATTAACAACAGGTGAACTAGACCCCCAAAACAGCAATGGTTTTACAGGTGGAGGCCACTGACATTTTTTTCCTTACTTCTCTTTTCTGACTGTTTTTCACTAGTTTTGCATTTGGCTAGGGTCAGTCTCACTACTGGTAGCATGAGGCGATACCTGGGCCCTAGAGAGGTTGCATTGCCAGAGCCCTACAAAATGACTTCCAGCAGGTCACTGGTGTGAATGTCTCTGACCAATCAGAAACATACTTCAAGAGGGTGTCCTGAGGGCCCGACGTCCTCTAGTGGGCCCTGTGCTCACTGCCTGGCACCATAGAGCTCAACTGATATTTAACATCAGAATTCACAGGTTCGCCACTGACGCACACTGTGCTTTTCACAGATGAGAGCAGGTTCACCCTGAGCACATGTGACAGACATGAAAGGGTCTAAAAAAAGCCGTGGAGAATATTATGCTGCCTGTAACATTGTTCAGCATGACCATTTTGGTGGTGGGTTAGTGATGGTCTGGGGAGGCATATCCATGGAGGGATGCACAGACTTCTATAGGCTAGGCGATGGCACACTGACTGCCATTAGGTGTCAGGATGAAATCCTTGGACCCATTGTCAGACCCTACTCTGGTGTGGTGGGTCCTGGGTTCCTCCTGGTGCACGACTATGCCCAGCCTCATGTGGCGATAGTATACAGGCAGTTCCTGGAGGACGAAGGAATTGATACCATTGAATGGCCCTCACGCTCGCATGACCTAAATCCAATAGAAAACCTCTGGATATCATGTTTCAGTCCATCTGACAAACGCCAGGTTGCACCTCAGACTGTCCAGGAGCTCAGTGATGCCCTGGTCCAGATCTGGGAGGAAATACCCCAGGACACCGTCTGTCATATCATTAGGAGCATGCCTTGATGTTGTCAGGCATGAATACAAGCACGTGGGGGCCATACAAACTACTGAGTACCATTTTGAGTTGCTGCAATGAAATTTCAGCAAAATGGACTAGTTTGCTGCAAAATTTTTTCACTTTGATTTTTTGGGGTGTCTTTGAATTCAGTCCTCTGTAGGTTGATGATTTTATAATTTCCATCAAACGATGGGGCATCCTTACATTCCTAAACACATTACCCAGTCCATATCAGTAAAAATATCCAACAAGATATTTTTCCCCATTGAGATCTGATGTGTTTTCAAAGGGTTCCTTTAATTTTTTTGAGCAGTGAATAAAATAAACATTTTAAAAAAGTAACACTGTAAAATTAGACAACACTTCATATCTTCGTATCTTTCGGCATATTTACCAGATCCTGCAGAAAATAGGGAATTTACACTCTCTGCACGATTGTTGAGGGAAAACAAGTTTGGAGAGATATCTGTGTTTTCAGACTGAAAAAAAGAGTATGTGGGTGTTAGAAGGGTTATTGTAATGCAACAATTCTTTCTCCAAATATAAAAGATGCAGAGTTTCTATCACCTCAGTAATGCCAAAATTGTGAAATTGGTTACATATGTTCTAGCAGCCCATTATTACCATCTTGGCATTATTGAGATGATACAAGGCAGTTCCTCATATTTTCCATTATCTGTACATAACCAGATAAACTATATTATTCCACACACAAAGTCAATTTGTAGCACAATATGAATTTCTTTGCCAGTCTTCTACATCAGTGTTTTACAAATAGGGTCCTGCACCCTGGGGTGGCATTTGCATTCCCCGAAATGGCATGACCATGAGACCCAGTTTACCCTGGATCAGAGATGGATGAGAAGATTTTGTAGTGACAGGGAGACTCTGATGTGATGGGAAGATTCTGATTAGATGGGAGGGTTCTCGTGTATAGGGGGCACACTGTCTGTGATGGAGGATTCTGATGTGTAGGGGGGACCTCCCATGTAATGGCACAACAATACGATAAGTAAACAGTCAATTCCGATATTAAAGGAAAGAAAAAGCGGAACTTACTTCTCTTTCTGGGTGTGGATTTGGCTGTGGTGTCGAAGAGCTTTGTTCCATTTGGACAGATCTTTTTTGATGAGTCTGTCTCAGCTTCTGGGCCCATGTTGTCAGTGATTTACTAAAACAAAAAAACAACAGTACAGCTATGTCTAAAAAAAAAAAAAACAAAACACTCTCTCTCGTTTTTATACTTACTTATGAAATTTTGGCCTTCTGCACATGGGTGTATGATCCTGTGCAATTTAAACATACAGTATCTCCTATCACTGTGTAAAAGGGGAAAGTTCACCTTACTAATAAAATTAACTATGCAAGCAAGGGACCCCACAGTGTAAAAAACATCCTGTAACTTAGAAAATTGGAGCTTACTTCAAAAGAGAAGTATGGCTAAAGAATTTTGAGCCTGCTGTCAGCCAACAGCAGGCTAAAATTTTACTGTTGGTTGACATCACAGTGCCAGTCCAGGCTCTAGAGGGATCTCGGGCAATAATATTGGGATCCACCCTGATGCTTGACTGGCAGCTGGCTCAGGCTCTCACCGCTGAGACCCTGAGCCAGCTGCTTCCACACCCCCTGAACCAGCACTCCAGTGAGCACTGTAGGGGCAGAGCAAAGAGCCAGTGACTGACAGTCACCTTTCTCTGCTCCGTGAAGACTAAGAACGGAGTGATCACCAGCCGTGTGATCAGTCAGTTCTCAGTCTTAGAGCCTGCTGGGGACAGCTGAAGCATCGGACCGATATGGCAGCCATAGAGGCGAGTACAGGTGAAACTCGAAAAATTAGAATATCGTGCAAAAGTTCATTTATTTCAGTAATGCAACTTAAAAGGTGAAACGAATATATGAGATAGACTCATTACATGCAAATCATAGTTCAAGCCGTGATTTGTCATAATTGTGATGATTATGGCTTACAGCTCATGAAAACCCCAAATCCACAATCTCAGAAAATTAGAATATTGTAAAAAAGTGCAATATTCTCGGCTCAAAGTGTCCCACTCTAATCAGCTAATTAAGCCATAACACATGCAAAGGGTTCCTGAGCCTTTAAATGATCTCTCAGTCTGGTTCAGTAGGAATCACAATCATGGGAAAGACTGCTGACCTGACAGTTGTGCAGAAAACCATCATTGACATCCTCCATAAGGAGGGAAAGCCTCAAAAGGTAATTGCAAAAGAAGTTGGATGTTCCCAAAGTGTTGCATCAAAGTATATTAATATAAAGTTATGTGGAAGAGAAAAGTGTGGCAGAAAAAGGTGCACAAGCAGCAGGGATGACCACAGCCTGGAGAGGATTGTCAGGAAAAGGCCATTCAAAGGTGTTGGGGACTTTCACAAGGAGTGGACTGAGGCTAGAGTCAGTGCATCAAGAGCCACCACACACAGACGGATCCTGGATATGGGCTTCAAATGTCGTATTCCTCTTGTCAAGCCACTCCTGAACAACAAACAATGTCAGAAGTGTCTTACCTGGGCTAAAGAAAAACAGACCTGGTCTGTTGCTCAGTGGTCCAAAGTCCTCTTTTCTGATGAGAGCAACTTTTGCATCTCATTTGGAAACCAAGGACCCAGAGTATGGAGGAAGAATGGAGAGGCACACACTGCAAGATGCTTGAAGTCCAATGTGACGTTTCCACAGTCTGTGTTGATTTGGGGAGCCATGTCATCTGCTGGTGTTGGTCCACTGTGCTTCATTAAGTCCAGGGTCAAAACAGCCGTCTACCAGGAGATTTTGGAGCACTTCATGCTTCCTTCCACAAACTAGCTTTATGGGGATACTGGCTTCATTTTCCAGCAGGACTTGGCACCTGCCCACACTGCCAAAAGCACCAAAACCTGGTTCTATGACTGGGATTACTGTGCTTGATTGGCCAGCAAACTCGCCTGACCTGAACCCCATAGAGAATCTATGGGGCATTGCAAGAGAAAGATGAGAGACATGAGACCGAACAATGCAGAAGAGCTGAAGGCTGCTATTGAAGCATCCTGGTCTTCCCTAACACCTCAGCAGTGCCACAGGCTGATAGCTTCCTAGCCACGCCGCATTGAGGCAGTAATTGCTGCAAAAGGGGCCCAGACCAAGTACTGAGTACATATGCATGCTTATACTTTTCAGAGGTCCGATATTGTGTTCTATGTACAATCCTTGTTTTATTGATTGCATGTAATATTCTAATTTTCTGAGATTGTGGATTTGGGGTTTTCATGAGCTGTAAGCCATAATCATCACAATAATGACAAATCACGGCTTGAACTATCTTGCTTTGCATGTAATGAGTCTATCTCATGTATTAGTTTCACCTTTTAAGTTGCATTACTGAAATAAATGAACTTTTGCATGATATTCTAATTTTTCGAGTTTCACCTGTATGTATGTTTGTTACTTTGCTATACCGTACTTCTTTAAATCATTAAATGCTATACCTGTACACCAGGTGCTCCTTCCTCACAGTCTGGCCAGAAAAACTACTTTTCTGAGTGATAAGCTCTGTCCTGGATAAGATTTATTCTTTTTTTCTTTTAAGCCTTGCAAATGCACAGTGTGCTTTTTCTCGCTGCAGAGGCTGAGCTAAGCACTTGGCCTCTATTGTTCAAACCTGCACAGTGAACTTACACTTCAAATGGGAAATACACATGCATTGCAAAGATTTACTGCACGTTTGTAATTTTGCTTTAACAGATGGCCTAGATTTTTGGGATAATTGAAAAAAACAAAAAAACAAAATGTGCTTGCATCCCTGATTTCCATAGGAATTAAAGTAAATATTTGTATTAACGTTCCTCAATAAAATTTGCCTGTGCTAAAGGATACATTTATAAATGTCATCTCTTTGACAGTTACCATCCGACACTTTGAGCAGCTAGTGTAAAACCCAGGTGTCACTGACAGCTTGGGACTGCACTAATAATAGGGATCCAATAAGAGTGGTTCCCAATCTTGTGGTCACTATGCCAGAAATTTATAGTGATTATATGAAAGGATGCAGAAGTGACTGCTGATTATTATTGTAACTGTCAGATACAATTATAGTAAAAATAAAAACACCGTTTTCTCTATTTTAATATATGTCACAAAGTAAAAATATTTTATGTTTGTGTGCATTTGTCAGACTAGTCAAACACTATTCAAATATACTATATATATATATAGATATATACACACACATACATATATATACATATACACATACACACATACACACATACACACACACACATACATACACACAATTGTGTTCAAAATAATAGCAGTCAGACATCACTAACCTGATCAATCACTGTTTTTGGTAGAAATGATATTTAAACATGGCAAATAATTTACTAGCAGGTGTAGTAGAGTAATAGAAATCCAACAGACCCAACAGTCATGACATGCATGCTGCTGATTCTGTGTAATTGAATCACTAATTGACAGGGGCATGTTCAAAATAATAACAGTGTGGAGTTCTATTAGTGAGGTCATTCATTCTTTGAAAAACAGGTGGCAATTATTGCCCTTGTTTAAGGAAGGAAGGCAGCAAATGTTGTACATGCTGGTTACAGTGCATTTCTCACTCAAATTCTGAGGAAAATGGGTCGTTCCAGACATTGTTCAGAAAAACAGCGTACCTTGATTAAAAAGTTGATTGGAGAGGGGAAAAACATATAAAGAAGTGCAGAAAATGATAGGCTGCTCAGCTAAAATGATCACAAATGCTTTAAAATGCCTATTTATCGCATACCAGGGATCATGGATCAGTTTGAATACATCAGAATACTTGAAGAGGTCATGCTGCCTTATGCTGAAGAGGAAATGCCCTTGAAATGGGTGTTCCAACAAGACAACGACCCCAAACACACCAGTAAACGTGCAACATCTTGGTTCCAGACCAACAAGATTGACGTTATGGAGTGGCCAGCCCAATCCCCGGATCTTAATCCAATAGAAAACTTGTGGGGTGACATCAAAATACAGTTTCAGAGGCAAAACCAAGAAATAGAGAAGAACTGTGGAATGTAGTCCAATCATCCTGGGCTGGAATACCTGTTCACAGGTGCCAGAAGTTGGTTGACTCCATGCAACACAGATGTACAGCAGTTCTCAGAAACAGTGCTTATACAACTAAATATTCATTAAGTGATTCAAAGGAAAGCAAAATCTTCAAACATTTTTCAGTTTATATAGTGAGTGTTTGAGTTTGTAAAGAAGAATACAAACACTGCTATTTTTTTGAACAGTCTAATATTCACTTTTCTTCATTTTTTTAGAGGAACAATACAAATTTGATATATTGTTCTTCATGTTTTGATTTGGAATAGAATGTGTAGTGTTCCCAATGCATTTGTGTGCATGGAAATAAAAGCTATTAGAAGGATTTTGAGCTTTATTCGCTTTTTTGAACACACTGCTATTATTTTGAACACAACTGTATACACACACACACACACACACGCGCGCGCTACAAACATACAGCGAGAGAGAGAAATACACAATATATTAAGTCTTGGAAAAAATAAGGCACATTTCCTTGAATTGTAGTGGGACTCTAAAGGTTAACATTACATCAGCGGTACTTACCTGCTTGGCTGGTTGGATTGGCTGACAACCCTTTTCCCATAGTTTACAAGGCTTCCTGACAGGTTTCCTTCAGAAGATTTCTCAAGGTGTGATAGACATTTTGTATCAGGTACTAGTATGAAAGGTTTTTCATTGTCCACAGGTGTATGAGGATGCTTGGTAAATTCAGTTCTGCATTCTACAAAAGTTTGTTTTGTAGGCAGACTGGTCTTCCTTGAGGTATTTTGACTAGAGCTGCTTAAACAAGCATTTGGCTCAGAGGCAGAAAGTGTTCCATAGCCGCTGCTGATGGAATTACTCTCCGGAAAGTGCTCCTGTGTAATGAAGGCTCTTTTCTGAATATCAAGTTCTCTAAACAGATGGAATGCGGTGTTGGTGCTTTCTCCCCTCTCTTCATCTTGGGAATGCTGTCCAGCATCAGCACTTGGAGGATGGGCTCCACTTGCTTGAGTTAAGATGGCATCGCCTGTCCTACTGTTCCAAGGAGAGCTGCTTCCCTGTAACTGGGCTAAGTGTTTAATTTCCTCACGGACGAGCTGGAAGTAAAACAGAAGCACTGAAGCTATAATTATTAGAATTCACCAGTGGAATGACTCCAGGATACTACACTGAATTTCAGAGGTGAGATAAGGACAAAGCCCCTATCCCACCACCACCACTCCCTCCCCACCAAACATTCACAATACTTTATGACTATGTCTTTATTCCGCCTTACTCATTATATAACCAGACATGAGCAATGCAGGTTCCTAATGTGGAGAGTCTTTAAGCAAAATGCGTAATAAAATAGTTAAAATGTTCTGCTCCTATATTTTAGTGCATGGAAAAATATGAATATTTCCCAAGATCGTGGTGACTAATTAAAGTAAAATGACTGCAAGCAGCTGCCAACGCATACTTGCTACTACTGAAGCATAAATATTAACCTTTACACAAATGAGATACTACAACAAAAATAGATACAGACATTTAACATGAAGAGGAATTTTACCATAAACATTAAAAATAGCCTGAAACATTAGGCAAACATTATTTACAATTGTCATTGTTCATTATTAACATGTCATAAAAATGACGCAGGCTATTGGAAATGATTACTGTATTTATACAACTTTGCTCTGCACATTATATAAAAATACACCTTGTTGGTCCTGTGAAACTGCATGTACATTTTTTTTTCTCTGGGAATGTGGGTAAAATAAACTGTTATTAGGCTATTTTTTCTGCAGGTCAAATGTTCTTTTTAGAGTGTATAAGGAAACCACCACATTATAGCCACTACATGTATCATAGGAAATGGATACAAATTTACTATAATTGTCAGCTCCAATTACTAACCATAATGTGATATTTTTCTGATTCACTCTATGAAAAACATTTGACCTAGGAGAGAAAATAGCTTAACATTCAATTTTGAATCCATTCGCACTGAACTGCCCTACACCCCCTAGATACCCAAAGCATTTTTTTCACAAAATAAAAACAGCATATATGCATTTAAACAAACAATATTCATATTGGATGTGACCAATACTGCATTTCACTTTGAAAAGCTCCCTAGATGCTAAATTTGATTGTTAATCATGGTTAATTTTCAATCATGAGAATTTCAGCAGACAGGATGTGATGGAAAATATGCAACAATGTGTTTAAAAAAACTATTTTTTTAATGAATTTCTTTAATGCTTTAAAACTTTTTTTTTCTTTTTACCCAAATTGGAACTTCACTCAGATTGACTTTATGTCCACGCCTCTTCCCCCCCTCCACAAATAAAAAGTAGCCAGTGTGGGTTTTTTTTTATTGTTTGCTTTTTCTCAGTTTTTTTTTTTTATGAACTTTAATATAACAACCAACCAATGCCTGCAGAATGGAGCTCCACTTTCAACAGGAAATATGTGACCTACACTCAAAGGTTTATTTTTTGGGGCTTTTTTTTAAAGGAAGAGTTCACCTTTTAACAAAAAAGAATAAAATGCAAATTTTTTGCAGGTAAAAAACAAAATATGCATTTATTATTTTTTGTTTCTGGAGCCTCTAAAGCATTGCACCAGCAATCAGCATGCAGGACTCCTGCAGACCTGTCAGTGTATCTGTGTGTGTCCATACATCGCACATCAAAACAGATACTTACAGGAAGAATCAACGAACTACCACAGTACTGTGCTAGTTCATTGAGATGATCTACATGTCAACATCCGCAAAGGCTGTCAGAACTTGCAGTCTTCTCATTCATAGAATACAGCCGGGCCGTGGTTTTTTTTTTCTTCTATTTATTTAGGTCGTGACAGCTAGCATGGGGGAAAAGATCCCCCGCTAGCTGTCACAAAGGAGAATCCCAGGATGCGGTCCATTCATGTTACATGTTATACCCTGAATATGGTTGTAATATGTAAAACAGGGCTCGACAAATCCTAGAAATTGTGTCCTGGTGCCTGGGCTTTTGTCAGCCGTCCACTGTCAGGCATCAGAACGCGACTCCACTGATCCAGTGATTTGAAATCCCAGCTGCTTGATCTCCTATCCCGTACCGTCCCATGGACGGTGCTGACCAATCAGAATCCGTCTAGCCCATCCTGCCAGTGCCGTGGGGATTTCAAATGAAGCGCCGTCCCAGTGCCTGACAGCAGGGGATCATGCGACACTGGTATAGCGGGCCCGGGGTGGATGGGAAGAGGGTCCAGTGTAATGGTGAACTTACAATTTCAACGTGTCATCCTGGCCTGTTTACATAGCTTGCTTTCTTTTTTTCTGACACATAGTTCTGGGCACCAAGCTCCTAACTTTTTTTAGCTGGCTTCTACATTCAAAGCAAATTTGTCAAGCCCTGATGTGAACTTATCCTTTAATCAACTTTAATGTAACAAACAACCAATAGACACAACTCAAGTAAGTGGAGGCCACGTTTCCTGTCTAGAGTGGAGCTCCAGTAGCTCCAGTCTGCAGTCACATACCGTTGCATGCAAGCAGTGATCAGACAGCAGTAAAGGGGTTAATTTTGTGAAAAATTTAAAATGTATGGGGGTGCTAAAGGGGCTTTTATTACTGTAATTTATCATTGCGATCACTGTGCTGTGAAATCCGAATTTGGGGGGTGTCTGTGTGCCTCAGACCCTGAGGCAGCAAGGCACCCCTTGAACCCCTAATCACTGTGGTACCAGTGTAGCATGAAGATGTGTATGCCGTGAAACTATGTATCCCCTGCAGCAACTGCGCATGCGCCAGATTCAGGAAAAACACGTTGAGCACCGAGCTGCAGATCTTCATACTAAAGCATAACAGACGAGCGGGTTAACTCCTTGCATGCCACCGAGCTGAAGCCAAAGAGGTACACAGTACGTATGGTCTGTAGAGATCTTCATGCTACACCGCAACAGCCGAGTGGGGACACAGGCACAGGAGCTGTATCATGAAGATTGGCAGGAAGGTGGGGGGGGGGGGTTAGTATTTGAGGGTGAGGGGTTGGGGTCTGTCAGTGGAGGGAGGGGGTGCCACTGAAAGACCCCCAACCCTCCAACAGCCGATCCCTGCACCCACTTGCAGACCCCCACCACCTCCACTACTGTCTCCACGCTTCCCACTGACAGACCCCAATAACCCCCCTGCCCCCAAATGATACACCCCCACTCTCCCAACTACCGACCCCTCCCCTACCTCCCAACTACTGCCCCCGGACAGACCCACACCAACTACCGCCCCCCCTCCCACCACTGACAAACCCCCACCCCTAACTACGGTCACTTCCTCCCACCCTACCAACTACCTCCCACCACCCACAGATTGCCACCCTCCAACTACCGACTATTTTCCCCTGTGCGACTACGGCAAATGTGCAATTGCTGCAAGGATACATATTTTCATGGGATACATACTTATGCGACATACAAATCTTCATTCTACATCCGGCGATTGGGGTAAATGAGGGTGCCTGGCTGCTTCAGGGTCTGAGGCACAAAGACACCCCCAAAATTCAGATCTCACAGCACAATGATCGGTGGGGGCCGAGCACAGCAATCATTGCACCTTGAGAAGCTCCCTGTCACAGCAACTCACACGTGACCTCCACTTACTTGAGTTGTGTATATTGGTTGTTTGCTACAATAAAGGCGATTTACCTGCAAAAAAATGTGCATTTATTATTTTTTGTTAAAAGGTGACCTTATCCTTAAAAAAAAAAAAAAAAAAAAAAAACACTAAGTGGAGGTCACATGTTTCTAGTTGAAAGTGGAGTGTTTTTTTGAAGAGAACCCCACCAGTGTGTGTAAACACCCCCAGTTCAACTGATGTAAGCTTTAACCCCTTGGCGCCGGTGCCTCCCGGACCTTTAAGGGTTTCAGAAGCCGGGAGGCGGGGCAGGGTTTTTAGGGTCATGTGACCGCCATGATTCGCTGTCAGGGCAGTCACATGATCGGGAAAGGTCCCGATTGAAAGAGGAGATTGGGACCTTTCCGTGAGTACCGGACATGTGTGCTGGGAGCACGCAGGGCACGTGCTCTCAGCACATATTTTTTTCCTAATTGCACGCAAACGTGCGGCCGCTCGGCGTCAAGGCCCAAACACCGGGAGGCCGCACATTTGCGTGCGGCCGGCGCCAAGAGGTTAAGCTAGTGGCAATGAAACTCCATTTTCTGCTCTCCCCATAAACATCTCATATAAGCTCACAATTCAGGTCAATCATAATCTAATATCTTTATTTATTATTTATTTATTACAGGTACTTGTATAGTGCCGTCAATTTTACGCAGCGCTTTACATATATATTGCACATTCACATCAGTCCCTAACCCTCAAGGGGTGTACAATCTAAGGTCCCTAGCTTACATTCATACATACACATACTAGGGCCAATTTAGACAGGAGCCAATTCACCTACCAGCACGTCTTTGGAGTTTGGGAGGAAACCAGAGTACCTGGAGGAAACCCACGCAGGCACAGGGAGAACATGCAAACTCCAGGCAGGAGGTGCCCTGGCTGGGATTTGAACCAACGACCCTAGTACTGCCAGGCGGAAGTGCTAACCATTTAGCCACTGTGCTGCCCTCAAACATAAACCCATTTTTAGGTATTGAATTTGCATGCTGAAAAGGACGCTGTGCATTTCCGTTCGATTCACATTCATTTTGAATAGGCTAAATCGCACCGCACTGAAAAGTAGTGCAAGCACTACTTTTAGAAACGCACTGCAACCGGATCCAATGCAGGTAAACGCACTGTGTTTAGGGTGTCATTAACTTTTGACACCCACAGCAGATTGCATCTGCAGTGCATTTTGTGGGAAACTCTAATGCAACGCGTGTTTCCCATACCGTGTTCTGGTGTGAAGCGGCCCCTCGTGCTCTGTTAGCAGTAAGCCTTTTCACACAGCAGAAGGCTCCCACAACAGAATGAGCGAGAGAGAGACCTGAGCATCAGTCAGCTTGCATATTTAAAGTCCTGTACACAACTGAGACTAACAATTTCCTTAAAACCTTAAGGCTTTAGAACCACATTAACCCTTTACTGCTACCACAGTATATCATACAACAGTGGCAGTGGGGGGGGCTTTACACACAATACCATCTGCTACATATGTCAGGAGTGTGTGAACACTCCACAAGTCCACTGTCGACTATCTGATAAAAGCATCAGATTGAGCCACCCAATCACTTTCTGCGGCCCCTGAAAGTGCGATCTATTAGCTTTTAATAGAAGGCAAGTGAGACATCAGGAGTCTAAAAGACCGCTGATCTTTCATTAACCAGTTCCCGACTGCGCTATAGCCAAACGACGGCTACAGCGTGGTTGGCTAGTTCTGGGAGGGTGTCCATGGACGTTGTCCCAGAACCACGGCCCCCGTGCACCCCCTGGGGAGCACACCGGGCGCAATCTATGATCGCTGTGTAATTTGGACACAGCTAGTCACGTGTCCAGGTAAAGGGCCAATCAGAGTGGCCTTTTACCATGTGATCAGCTGTGTCCAATCACAGCTGATCAGTGTAAATAAGAAATGCCGGTTATCGGTAAGCGGCACTTCTCAGAGGGGACACCTACACTAATCATCAGGGCATTGATCATCAGTGCCCCAGCTATTAGTGTAGTCCCTACAGTGAAGTTAACAGTGCCCATCAGTGCTGGCCATCAGCGCCTCCTCATCAGTGCAGCCCCATCAGCGCTCATCAGTGAAGGAGAAAAATCACTTATTTACTAAACTTTTTAGCAGAAACTAAAAAAAAAAAAAAAAAAAACAGTTTTTTTCAAAATTTTTGGTCTTTTTTCATTTGTTTAGCAAAACATTTGCTATGTTTCATTTGTTTAGCAAAACATAAAAAACCCAGTGGTGATTACCACTAAAAGAAAGATCTATTTGTCTAAAAAAAATTAAAAAATTAAGTTTGGGTACAGCGTTGCATGACCGCGCATCTGTCATTCAAAGTGCAACAGCACTGAAAGCTGAAAATTAGCCTGGGCAGGAAGGGGATAAAAGTGGTAAGAGAGAACCTTATATCCCATATACGATGTAAATAAAATTGTAGCAAAAAAAAAAAGTCAAAAAACAAAGTTATATCTCACCAATAAAACCAAGTTGCTGTTGTTTCCAGTTGCTTCCACTTTGTTATAATATCACTAACAGTTGACCGTGGAATATTTAGTAGCAAGGAAATTTCATTGATGGGCTTACTGCACAAGTGGAAACCTATCACGGTACTACACATGCATTCACTGATCTCCTGAGAGTGACCCATTCTTTCACAAATGTTTGTAGAAGCAGTCTTCATGCCTTGGTGCTTGATTTTATACACCCGTGGCCATGGAGGCGATTGGAACACCTGAAACCAATGATTTGAAGGGGTGTCCCAACACTTTTGGCAATTTAGTGTGTGTATGTATATACGCACATATATACGCACATATATACGCACACAACAAACACATTTTATATTAACATCTGTGCAATACATGCATAATTTTCCATGTGCTGTATTTTTAAATAAAACCGCAAGTACAGAAAAATACCAATTGATCCAGCCAGACATCCAGTGTGCTAACTTTCTGAAGTTTGCCAACAATACAGTGCTTCTGATGTACTAAAATCCGAAACAGCATTCTTAGCCCTTTTGCTAAACTACAAAACACCTTCCCCTATACTCATTGCCATAGAATATGGGGGAGGTGTTCTGGAATCAAATGGGAGATAGGTTGAAGGATCACAGGTCACAAAAACTGCAGAGAAATCAGACAGAGAATCTGCGGGAGAAGGCATTGGAGCATGTTTGTGGCCTCAGCAGCCAGAGTCAGCAAATAATTAAGTGTTTTAGTCCATACAGTCTCACGTAGTAAAAACATCAGTCAAAAGGATAGAAGAAACCAGCAAAAATCAACAGAAATAAAGATGACTCTTGACTATAGAATCGACTCTAGGAGGAGAGGGCAACACTATTCTTTGCTGCAGTCCTCACCACCATCAGCAGGCAAGCATCCACAGAGCTATTAGGGTGTGCGATGGGGGCACCTGTTACAGCACAAGCTCAGACTTCTTTCCTCCACACTTCTTGTTGCACATGGCAAATGATCAGATACTGGCCACACATGCAAAAGTCAATGGATAGCATCAAAACTAAACATCCAAAAAAGAATTCCTTGAAAGCTGAACTAGACAAATTAAGCAAAACGTACCCTACTCCATTGTAAGTATATCTCCATTGTAAGTATATCCAGAGACTGCAATCATCTTAACTGAAAAGCTACTTCCAATTCTAGGATATTATACAACAATATTCTAAAACAAACACGTCAAAAACAGAAGAAATGTTAAACACGTAAAAAAACAGATGTATAAAAGCTCACAGTGTCTAGCATGGACAGAGAAAAAGAAAATATGTGCTTCACCTGTAATTGATGGTTAAATTGTTCTTGCTGGGCATCTATCTGCTCTTGACACTGCTTCTCTACAAGTTGAAATACCTGTAACCACCGGGCCTAAGTGGGGAAAAAAAAAAAAAACAAAAAAAACAAAGCAAGAAAGATTTATATACTAAAACTAGCTGATGAACAGAGTTGAAAAGTCCATTGACAAGTTTAGTATACTTCTGTTGGCAACACAATTAAGAATCAACAATGATGCCAGATACATAAAAAATTATATTAATTATGGACAGAGACCAAATTACAACTGGCTATATATTTATTAAACAGGATTTTAAAATCTAGATTCACCATTTGATTGATCACTACATAGAGAGGACCCCACTTTCCACTGTACCTTAAAGAACAATTCTTAAACTTCTTAAAAAATCTGTTCGGCTACAAATCATTAAATTTCAGTAGGTTCACGCCATATGCCATGCTCCTTGGTTGGATGTCTGTCATTTACAATTTACACTTTGAGCGCTTATATTATAGCTTTGGCTATACTTCCAGTACTCCTACAGGAGGCTCACAGCTCGCCTACATAGTGGCTGTCGCTCCATTTCACCCCTCTTCTCCAGTTGTCCAATCACAGAATGCATTCACAAAATAAACCCATTCACAAAATAAAAAGTATTTTGTGATTAAAGTATACAGTAAGCTCTGTCATTGGCATACAATTAAAAGAGAAGCTTGGGATTTCAGAAAACAATCAATCATACTCACCTAAGTGGATGCAGCATCAGTCCGATTCTGCATCTGTCCCACACAGGTTCTAAGACTGAGAACTGATTGTAAACTGTAAATAACAGGCAGGGATCCAGGAGATGATAAAGTTTTTTCATGGAGTTCTTTATAAAAGATTCTACTTTCTACAGGAGGGAGTTCCACATTTTAACTGCTCTAACAGTAAAGAACCTGTTCCCCATTCTAAGGTTAAACCTCATTACTTTGAACTTCAAATTGTAGTCGCATGTCCTCTTCAAATAACTAACAGTAAATTGTTTTTAACAGTTACTGAAGTCACTTTTGAAATATTTGAACATTGTATCATATCCCCACTTAAGCACCTTTTCTCCAGAATGAATAACTAATCTTTGTAATCAGTCCTCATAGTTGAGATCCTCCACCACTCCTAATAATTTTGATGGGATTCGCTGAACTCTTTTTAATTTAAAGTATTTGTAAAGGCTCAGGTTTGTTTTTTGTTTTTGTTTTTTAAATAACACGTCATACTTTCCTCCTCTGTACAATGGTTTTGCACAGAGCAGCCCCGATCCTACTCTTCTCGGGTCCCCCACCATCACTTCTGGCACCTCGCGCCTGCTCCTGAGCCACCTCTGTGTGTTTGTTTATGAGACACACAGAGACGGAGTGGACCTGTCCTGCCCCCACTCTCTCCTCGCTGGCTGTGATTGACAGTACTGGGAGCCAATGGCTCCCACTGCTGTGTCTCAGCCAATGAAGAAGGAGAGACCCTAAAGGAGTTTCTTCTCTTGCGCATATTCCTGGCTCAGGCGAGTATAAGGGTTTATGTGGTACAGTTTTAAAAGCTTTAGAAAAATCTAGATAAACTACATCCACTGGACCTCCACCATCCAAGATTTCAATCAGAAGGATAAAAGGTCATTCTGATAAGAACGGTCTTTCATATATCCATTCCCTCAAATACCTTACATAATATTGATGTTTCTTGGTATACATCTCAATCCTTTATTGTAAACTGGTACCACATTTTTTCTACACCACTCAATTGGTACCATTCCAGACAGTAAGTGGTCTTAAAAATCAGAAATAACTGATTGGCTACAACTAACCTAAGTTTCCTACCCCATCTGGAATTGGAGACTTGTTCACATTAAATTTCTCTAGTCTCTTTTGAACCTGGTGGTCATTCAAACACAGGGGTACCTTCGGTGAAACATTATTTTACTGATAAGACTATAAAATCTGACTTTTTTTTTTTTGAGAGAAAAAAAATTTTTTAAAACAGGATTAGTTCACCTTTTGTGTAGATAAAAAAAATAATAAATGCACATGATTTTGCAGTAAAAAAAAATTGAAGATTGCAATGCATTGCACCTACGATCAGTGGATCCCAGGTGCAATGCCAGACTCCTGCAGACACTCAGTACAGCTACTTGCTCATACCTCCATATGGGCAGACAGTTACAGTAACAAACAAAAAAAATCAATGAACTACGAAGATGCTCACCAATGCCCTTACAGTTCATTTAGAACTACAAGACATCTGCCGAAGTGGCAGTCAGGACTTGTAGTTCATTCACTTACAGAACTCTGTGAATGAATGATGTGGCTGGGTGGGAGAAAGGGGGTGCAGGGGACTGCTCCAAAGTAACATATTACACCCTAAATATGGGTGTAACATGTATCACAAGGTGAATCTATCCTTTAATACATCTGCCTTTTCCCTGTAATTGTTGCCCACATTTCCGTGTTCATCCATTATGGGTTCTACCAGTTCTTTCATAATCTTTTTACTTCTGATAATTTAATACATTTGTGGAGTTTGTTTTACTTGCTGTAGCAGCATGTTTCTCTTAGTCTATTTTAGTCAGTCTCATTGCTCTTGCATTTTTTTGATGCATCTCTTATATATCTGGAATGCCGAGGGTATTACTTTTACTTAGCAAGTTTTAAAGGCCTGTTTGTTTTCTCATTATTTTTTTTTTTGGATTAGAGTCTTCTTTCATGGTTACCTAAGGCTCCATGCACACTGGGCTTAAAGTGCTACTAAACCCAGGACCCTGCATTCACTATATCTGGTCTCCCACAGTACACAGAGAATGGAAGTGCAATTGTTTTAGTAAATAAAAACGGCTAAATACCTTTTCTCATAAGCAGATCGAGCAGTCTTGTGACTTCTATCAGTGTTTAGCAGAGCACTGGTTAAAGCTTGTAGGAGGAGTTTTCTTTCTGCTCTAGGAGGATGCAAAACCCCTGACCTCTGTCAGTGCTCATAGGCCTGTGCTGGTCACATGCACTCTCCCAAGAAAAAAAAAAAAAACCTCTCTAGCAATACACACTAAACTGAGCATGTGCAGAATGGCTATGGTTCAGTCTATCTTATCAGGAGATAAGACATGGAAATTTGAACAAGTGGAGGATTGCAATGCAGAGGATTAACCCCTTAGGTTTCACAGCGAGTATAACAAGCATGTTTTACTGCATACACAGGCTGATTTTACTGTTGTGGGTTTAGTAACATTTTAAAAAGGATCAAAGGAAAGCGTCCACGCTTGTGTCCCAAGCATTCCATAGCAGTGAGAACCCCGGGAAGCTGATCTTGCAAACCAGAAATGGCAACAGAAAATTCCTACATTGATGCAAAGTAAATAGAAGATTGTGCCCAAGACAGTAGAAATTGCATTTAAGGGCAGGAATTTATTGCTATACGAACCTTTAGTAGAGTCTTTGAAGGGAAACTGTGTAGAAGGTCCTGCCTGCCTGATGATAGAGGGATTTGGAAGATCATGCTATTGTCCCTTCACCTCTCTACCTGCAAGAGGCTATGGCTTGCTGAGGGTTAGTAGACCTTTACTAACCTATAAGGCACCCAGCTGAGTGTCAGCATTTGGCAGAACACCTAAGCAGAAAGTCATCCCCAATAGACAAGTGTCCAAGTTCTTGTGTTGGGAATCCAGCAAAATAACACACGCACAGTGCTGGACGATAGGGCGTAGGCAACCACTCTGGACAAAGCTCTTATCTATACCAACAGGGGTGTTCAGAATAGCCAGCAAAATAAAGGGACTATGTGAAAGAAGACCATCAGAGGGACATCAGTAGGCACATACATCACCTAGGGACACTAGCCTAAAACCTGAGGCTTAGCGAAGCTGGGAAGGGTTATGCTTGGTTGGCATTCCTAACTTTTCTGGCCAGTGTCCATTCACTTGAAGGTGGCAACATAACCCATAAAGTCATAAATATGTAGCGCCCTACAATGTAGAGATTAAGAAAAAATTGTTTCCTGTACTTGCTGAAAATGTATTTGACCTGAAAAAAAGGAAAAATAATGCAGCCGTCACATCTAAGGATTGGTATGCTGCAATATATTTAATTTTTGGTTTTAGATAAGCTTTAAGAATGTTGGAATATTTAGCTATATTTTCTTGAGAAAGCATTCCTGCTCATTATCTCCTTCTCTTTTAGTTTTGTAAGATGTGGCAAATCAGAGACAGGCGACAAGTTGCTTATGTAGGCAAGCCATTATGAACACAATAATTACAAGGTAAACCAAAAGAAATGAATAACTTGCTACAAGCCCAGTATTATTATATGTTATATGATTTATATAGCGCCGACAGTTTGTGCAAAACATTATGATATTTTTACACTTATGTATTGGGTAAAGTAAACAGCGAGCTACATGTAATACAATATATTTTCCCAAATGTCAATGTACAACACAAATGGGGAGATTTACCAAAACTGGATAGTGCAAAATCTGGTGCAGCTGTGCATGGTAGCCAATCAGCTTCTAACATCAACTTGTTCAATTAGGCTTTGATAATAAAACCTGGAAGCTGATTGGTTTCTATGCAGAGCTGCACCAAACTATACACTCTCTGGTTTTAGTAAACCTACCCGAAAGTGTTATCCTTATTACCAGTTTAATGCAGAAGATCTGTACTAAATATTACCTCACAACTTTTTCTGTCTTCAGAATCAGGCTGCACACTGCCACAAAGATCTCCAGCAGAAGATGCCTGAGAATCAGGACACTGATGTGAACTCTCGGGGAGGGACAATCCTTTATTTACCGTACTTCTGGAAGCCAAGTATAACACAGAACAAAAATACAAATTAGAACAGTGAGGAAAATATATTTATAGCAACAGAGACAGAAAGACTGAATAGATGTTTTGATAGGAATAGATTGTCCACCACCCCAGCAAGCTATACTTGCTTAACCATACTCCCTTGTTACCGTCCTAATGCAACTTATTCTGGAGTCCGGAGTAAGCTGCACTGTCAGAGCTTATCTGGTTGAATGACCTAACTGGCCCCAATCTCCAAGGAAAAGTGTCTGGCCTTGCAGTTAGATATACTGTCTCATTGGAGAGGTTGCAAGCAAAGATACCTGGATACCTTGCTCTGGCAAAACAACAAGGGCTTATACAGCCGGGGTGTGAGCTACCAACAAACACTGTCACATGCTGTGATCTGGCAAAGTGACAGTGTCACTTTAAAGGGTCAGTCCAACCAAAGTGAATGCTAAGCTACATTTAGAGCCTGGCAGACTAGGACACTCCAAGAGGGAAGTTCAATTCCCAACACTGTACCTGTCCACTTGAAAGATTTCCATGATTCCATTCAAGTTTGTTTTTCCCAGCTCCTCTTGCTGCATCCTCCATATACAAACAGGGAGATCATGACACTTTTGACATCACCGAAACACTGAAATACTGCTGTAGCTTTGGTTGGACTGACCCTTTAACATTCTGAAAGCGAACCTGTGGGCAAAAGAACATTACAAAACCAAACAGGTATCTACTGTATATCTCATGTGACTGAACCTACTTTTTCAGCGCTGTTTGAAGCCTTCTGTACCAGATATGCCAACAGTAAATTTATAAAAGCTGCTATTTTTCTAAAGCCAATAAACAAATTTGATAGAAGTGCAGCTTAACAGTGCTTAGATGTGGTGGCTATGTTAATATTCCTTACGTGCTCTTTATTTCAACCAGTTAATCCTCCCATTAATACACTTTCTGCCCTAAGGTGGCCCCAGGGTGGCAACTGTATCGAGCAGCATTGTCACCATAGAACAGGGTGTGTGTTAGGACTACATAACACCTCCCTCCCCTTCTTCATAACAGGTGTTTTACAGTCCAAAGATATAGCCAGGAAAATAATAACTGATAACAGGCTAGAGGCAGACAGAACAGGACCTTTTCAGCTCACAAACTCTCTGACTGGGTGATCTATTTTTTTTTTTGACTTGTCAAACAGATTGAATAAAACACCTTATATTTTCCTACTGCAATAATCGGACACTTTCATCCCCTTCCTGCTCAGGCTAATTTTCAGCTTTCAGCACTGTCACACTATGAATGACAATTACTCAGTAATGCAACACTGTACCCATATGACATTTTTTTTTTTTTTTTTTTTTTTAAACAGATAGCTCTTTCTTTGGGTGGTATTTAAATCGCCACTGGTTTTTTTTTTTCTATATAAACTAAAGAAATACCAAAAATGTTTAAAAAAAAAATTTCCTTGTTTCGGTTATAAAATATTGCAATTTTTCTTCCTAAATTTAGGCCAGAATGTATTTTGCTACATTTCTTTGGTAAAAATAACTCAACTCAGTGTATAATATTTACTATGTAGGAAAGTTATGAAGTCTACAAACTATGGTCTATATCAGTGTTTTTCAACCACTGTGCCGCGGCACACTAGTGTGCCGTGAGATATTGTCTGGTGTGCCGTGGGAAAAATTGCAATTTCATCCGTAACATGTGGCCTCAGCTCACAAATAGACCAATCATTAGAACAGCAATGGGCAAACTACGGCCCGGCGGACCTTTTAATCCGGCCCGCGGAGCGTGATACTGTCAGGATGATCTGTCCCCCTCGACGTATCTGCGCATGTGCCGGAGATCGCCGATCGGCTGCTAATGCCTGAAACTGGCACATGCGCAGATACGTCGAGGGGGACAGATCCTCATAGGAGACAGATTTTCATGCTACACCGGAACGGCGAGAGGAACGCGCGGAGCAAAGGTAAGTAAATTGACACAGGGGGGGGGGGGCTTGGGGACTTAATATAGGGGATGAAATAATATGGGGGATGAATTACTATATGGGGGATGAATTACTATGGGGGGGATGAATTACTATGGGGGGGATGAATTACTATATGGGGGATGAATTACTATATGGGGGATGAATTACTATATGGGGGATTAATTACTATGGGGAATTAATTACTATATGGGGGATGAATTACTATGGGGGATGAATTACTATGGGGGATGAATTACTATATGGAGGATGAATTACTATGGGGGATGAATTACTATGGGGGATGAATTACTATGGGGGATGAATTACTATATGGGGGATGAATTACTATATGGGGGATGAATTACTATGGGGGATGGGGGGATGAATTACTATATGGGGGATTAATTACTATGCTTACTATGGGGGAATATTACTATACTTACTATGGATGACACATACACATCATTAATCTACTCTTGGTCCGGCCCCCGGTCCAATATATGAACCCACTGCGGCCCTCAAGTCAAAAAGTTTTTCAATAAATTTTTTTAACATTTTCTAATGGTGGTGTGCCTCGTGATTTTTTTCATGAAAAAAGTGTGCCTTTGCACAAAAAAGGTTGAAAAACACTGGTCTATATATTTGAAAGTTGATCAATCGTGATGTACTGACTGACTGACTGACTGACTGACTATCATTTCTTGAGGCTTAACGGTTTAGTTTTTTTTTTATTTTTATTTTTGTACATACTGTTACCAGAGAAGTGCAGTGTTACCAGAGTGACACTGTACTACTTTGGGTAAGTGATCAGGATTTTATTTTACACTATGATTGCTTATAAAACAGTGATGATCACTGTTATGAGCAATCATTTTTATGAATGCCATCAATTCATTCATAGCCATTCATTGAGTACTGTTGTGGTAGATGTGATTGGCCACAGCGATCACATGGTACAGTTGCACTGTGACAGGCCCTGTCTGTACCATGTGATCACTGTAACCAATCACAGAGATCATCGCAATAGTGCACAATGAACTGCTATGAATGAAAGCCAATGTGTACAACTGATTGGTTACAGCGATCACATGGCCGGCCTGGTACAATGATCTGTCATCTGCTGTGTCTTGTGGACACAGCGGGTGAACAGACTGCACCGCAGCGTGGTCCCCTAGGGCATGTGCAAGGCGCATGACTGGGAGAACCTTATATGACAGCCACCTGGGATAGCAGTGCTCCTATTCGCCCGTTACTTGTCTATAGGCCAGATGAGAGACGTTAACAGACCTAATAGGAGCAAATAAAAGAAATATATTGTTAGAATTTGCATTGACCAATGTGCATGGTTCCAAGTGTCATATAAAATCAGAAATAAATATTCATTCAGTTAATCATATTTTACAGTTTCCTTAATTATATATGTGCTAACCACATAGAGGGAGAAAAACAAAAACTTTCTGGCTTCAAAAAGGCTTTTTTTTACCAAGACAATATTTTGGCTATTTGTATCTACACCATTTCCTAAATGACGCAACAAAAGAGAATGGGCAGGGTCAGGCTCTTTTCACCAAAGCATACTATAGCTAAATAATCTAAACTGCACCTCCTTTACAAAGTGGAGTGGGCAGTGGGGCTGTGTTATAAGAAAAAGAAGTATGCATGTACTGAATGTATTAAAAAGATGGCAGCGTACGTATCATTTATTTTACATGACAAATTAACTTCAGTCTTTTTATTCTTTAATCTTTAGGAGTAAATGCATGTTAATGCTTTAAAAAAATGTGAGATACAGATATATATATATATATATTTGCTCATTACATATGCTTCTGTTTTCTGCTTAGCAGTGCAACATGACAGCTGTGCCTACAGCTGGCCAGAGACACGAGATTACAATAGTGGTCGGATTAGAAGAAAATCTAATATTCATTTATCAGGCAGATTCTTATTGGCTAACTGCTCTGGGGTCACAGGGGAACAGATGAGAGAACTTGTTCTGATTGTTATTGTTCTTCCACATGATAAGCATCACAGGCCCCATCTGTCCACATAGGTTTCTCCTGCCCATAGAAATAAACACTTGCAGTCCATTCCCAATTGTGTGTTTTGGTAACATGCAGTAAAATGCATGCATTGCCATGTGTAACCCTGATGCATGGCGTTTTGTACATTGCTATTGTGAACAGCACTCTGATAAATTATACAGTAGCAGCCAACAAACCACATGGTGTGCTGTGTTGCTAAAAAGCGTCAAGTGTATTTTTTTGTCCACTGTAATGCACATCAAAGCGTAAAATATTGCATGCGTGTAAATGCATTGCAAGGAACCACAGCAGCCTGAATGGGCCCAAACGCTTGACTGAGCCAAGAATGTGTGTTTATTTGTGTAGAATAAGACAAATGTATTGGATGTTTAGTGAAATATACATGCAAGTTTTTCCAACCTTAGTAGGCAGGGGAGGGAGGGGCGCTGGTTCAAGCTGTATTGCTTGACCACTGTTCAGGTCTCTAAACAGGATATGCATTCTGACAGAAGTGCCTGGATCACAAGACTGGCTAAACAGTTCATATATCCAGTATGTATTTTAACTGTGTAAGAAGTATGGTATTATACAAAACACAAACATACATACTCACCTCCATGCTGCAGCATCTGTTTGATGCTGCAGCTATCACACACAGACACTAACAATTACATGACCGCTCAGTTCTTTTAGTCACTCAACTATCGGTCTGCTCTGAGCAAAGAGTTCTGACTTTTAGTCACTTCTTTCTGCTCTGATCCTTTAAAGTGTTGTGCCAAGGAGGGGATGGGCACTGCTGGCTCCAGCTCCCAGCTGCACAGCCTCCTGTTAATCAGGCAGGCTTCCCAAGCCTGCTGCGGCTCTGCCCTGTTGACGGATAATGGGCAATAGCCCACTACAAACTGCCTCTAGGTCCCCAGAGAAAAAAAAAAAAACTGTAAATATATGCCTGTGGCCCTCAAGAGAAGTATGGCCAAAAATGCTTTGGCCATACTTGTCTTAAGCTGCTTGCCTGAAATTCATCTTAAGGGCTCACGTACACTGCAGCTGATAAACGCACATTTGAACGCTGGAAATTGACAGCAGGTAAAACGCAGGTTAAAAAAACGTCAGTTTTGACGCGTTTGCGTTTAGAAGCGTTTTATAAAGATAAGCAAAGGAGAACCTCCCAAATGCCCAGAATGCACTGAAAAGTGTTAAATTATTAACTATTTCAGACTGTTTCAGAGAAATACAGAGAGTAGAAGCAGAGACAGCAGTACGTGTTGAGATTAGCTTAGGTGTGAGTTGCTCGTTAACATTTCTTTTGTTTCCAAGGGTGGGAAAGGTGTCTGGTGGAGTGAGTCATTAAGGTCACCTGGCAGGGGGTCTTCATGAGGAATTTGAGGTGTGAATGGTCATTAACATATCTTTTGTTTCCAAGGGTGGGAAAGGTCTGAGGTGTGAATTGGTCATTATAATGTGTGGAAAGCTTGGTAGGAACATCCTGTGTTCAGTGTTTTGTCCCATTTGAGTACTTTGAAAACAATTTTCATGTATTTTTCATGATGAAAAAAAGGTTCTGGACAGCATCTGGAAATGGAAGAGTTAAAAAAATTTTCCAAACATAAACGCTTATAAACGCGGTTAGCTGCGTTTGAAGCGCTGATAAAATCTACTGCTGAACGCAAGTTTTCTGAGTTCAAAAAAAACGACTGTAAACTCAACTGCCTGTAAACGACAGTGTACATGGACACATAGGAAAACATTAGGGTGAGTTCAGGGGCTGCTGAAATAAACGCTGAACAGCTCCTAAACGTGAGTTTATCAGCTGCAGTGTACATGAGCCCTTAAAGCTGAACTCCAGGAATTCGGTCACTTTGTAAAATCTGCTGGATTACTATTGGTTAAGTCCAAAGAGGTGCTTGCTACCTCGTGGATGTATCTCTTTCATTTACAGTTTACATTGTTAATGGGCACGTGGAGCACAACTATCACTATACTTTCAGCATCCCGACGCTGGACCTTCTGATCTCAACTACTGTAGCTGCAGAGTTGTATGTAGCCACTCTGCTGGTACCGCCCATTCTCCTGCCCAATCACAGAGAATTTGTATTATGTGAACCTATTGGCAAACTACAAATCCTTCTGTGAATGAATAGCAGGATTACTATAAATTAAGTCTAACAAGGTGTGTGCCACCTCGTGGACTTATCTCTGTTATTTACAACTGGCAGTTTTACTGCGGGAGTACAGCCATCACTACACTCCTAATGCTGAAAGAAGATACTGTCTTCTCATACACAGCATTTCTGCCTGTCTCTCGCCTCTGCTATTCATTCACAGAAGATTTTTTTTTATTTTGTTAATGGGTTCACATAATATCAATCACTCTGAATGGGCAGGAGAACGGAAGGGGCCGGCAGCGTGGCTGCATGCAGCTCTACAGCTGCAGTAGACCAGATGGTCCAGTGTAGGAGCGCTGAAAGTATAGAGATAGTTGTGCTCTCAACACAGATTTAAAAATGCAAACTGTAAATTAAAGAGAAGTCCACAAGGTGGAAAGCACCTCTTTGTACTTAACCCACAGAAATTCAGCAGATTTCACAAAGTGACTGAATTCCTGGAGTTTGTCTTTAAATATATAGGTAATTGTATCCATAAGTACTCTAAAAACACACAATTCTTTAAAAAATGTTGAACAAGCTTAGGTAAAATTCTGAGGACACTTCAACCGCATATGGTAGCCAGTCCAAGCAGTAAGTGATAATCTAGTACTGAAGAATTTAGCAAACGAGGAATAATGAACAATTAAGTGCAAACAAAGCACTGAAAGTCTTGCTTGAAAATCTTTGTGGCAAATACATCATTGTTCTCTTTCCCATATAATTGCAAATTACACTTACATAGCACACACAGTAAAAAAAGTAAATGGACAAAGTTGTAGTGGGTTCAAATGCACAGAATTGTTAAATGCCAAACGTCTTTCTTGCTGAAAGTTCTGCGTGCCAGCGAATGTGGGTGACTGGCTTCAACTAAACTTATGTGAATCTTCCAATTTGACTTTGATTATACAATACCATCAAAGGTTAGCCATTTGTCAACATACCCGCCTCCAATACTTTCAATACTGGCTTCTGGGGGGGATTTGGTGTTATCTGAAGTGTCCGTATCCATAATTGCTTTACGGTCTTCTATTACACACTATGAAAAGCAAATGGAAACACATTTTACGGGAAGTAAATAGACTCAAGTTACAGAATTATCAAAAAATAGCCTCTTTAAGGTCAAATTCCAGCCAAAACCTTTTTTTTTCTTGTTTTGGAAAGAGTGTGGGTTATAAACTTAGGTCAGGTTTCTATTGTGTTTCAATATTAAAGGATGTCTAGCCTTACTATTTGTCACAGTACTTGTGGCCAATGAAACAAAGTGTTAGAGCAAATCTAAGGATCCCCACCAAAATATTTTCAATCAAGGTCACCTGTTCTGGTGATGGCGGTCAAAAGTGGAATCTTCTCTGATATTGGTGAAAATTTCAGTTACTTCCTGTCATGTCTGATATAGGATGTGAGGGGGAATCCAGGTGAACCCACTGAAGTGTCTTCCAATGGGGTCACCGGTTCCAATGACGGCGGTCAAAAGTTGAATTTCCTCTCACAATGGGGAGAATTCCATTTACTTCCTGTGTTGTCTCTGGAAAAAAAAAATGAGAGGAAATTTCCCCGACGTGAGAAATCCTGGAGGAACCATCTGCACACTACTAATTACCCTTGCTTGCAAACGTTGCAATAATAAAAATAGGGATTTTTAGTCTCTCCGAAGTGGACACAGGAAAAAAAAAAAAAAAAAAAGAAGGAGTGTGTTCTCCCACTTTATGCAAAACACACAAAAGACAGTGTTGTCTAGGGTTCTACTTTAAACTACCCAGAGACATTAAAAAATAAACAGTCTTAGGGATGTTTACGCCAAGGGATTTGTAGCTTCAGATGTGAACAAGCACCATAGAGAACAAAGTATTTTTTAAAGTGTTACTACTAGACTACAGTCACACTGAGTGCAACTTGGCATGCGATTAGCATGCCATACGACTTGCAAATCACATGCCAAGTTTCAGCCTTTTGTCTGCAATTCCAGCGGTCATATCGGTGCGGTTCTGACTTAGTCGCAGCCTCACCGATTTCTAAAGTAGTACATGTACTACTTTTGGTGTAATTTGCATAGACATCTGTGTCAGATGTCTTGCAAATCGCACCTCAAATCAGCATGTCATCTGACTTTGAAATCAAAGTCGGATCGGTGTGAATAGGGTGTAAACCCTGGACCCTGCATTCACTCTATCTGGTCTCCCACAGAACATGGAAATGCAATTATTTTAGTAAATATAAACTGCTGAATACCTTTTATCATCAGCAGTTAGAGCAGTCTTGTGACTTCTATCAGTGTCCAGCCCACTACTAGCTAAAACTTGTAGGAGGAGTTTTATTTCTGCTCCAGGAGGATGGAAATCCCCTGACCTCTGTCTGGACAGTGCTGATTGGCCCTGTGCTAATCACAAGCACTCTCCCAAGAAAAAAAAAAACCTATCTAGCAATACACACCAAACTGAGCATGTGCAGAAGGGCCACAGGTTCAGTCTGTATCAGGTGGCCATTTGAACAAGAGTAGGGGCAGAGAAGAAAGGAGCAAATAGCCTTTTTACATAGTGCAGAGGATTAACCCCTTAGGTTCCACAGTGAGTATAACAAGCATGCTTTGCTGCATATACAGACTGATTTTACTGCTGTGGGTTTAGTAACACTTTAAGTCTGAGCGTTTTTGGATCTTCAAGCTACAAATCGCTCAAGTGTGAATGCACCTTAGAAGAACTTTTAGCATCTTGTAGTATCTGTAAGTAAAAGAAAATCAAATTCCTGCCGAACCTCTTAGAACTGTCTGGTCTCTATTACCGTAGCTTCCAAATACCTGAAAGTGACTGGCGGCACATCTGCACACGAGCCTGTTTTTTGAAAAATGGCGGCTTGAAAGAGAGGCATTAGGTTCACCTTTAAATTACCTTAGTAAAAAGGTTTACACTGATAAAAGGAACTATACAGGGCATGAACACTTGTCTCCATCCAAATAAAACATTGTTTCCCTTATGTGGTATTATTTACAACCAGTAATTCTATCCCAACATCTGCTACAGGAACCAAACAACCCTTGGGTGACCAGCAATTAAGAAAGACCCCGTTCTGCAAATGAGCAGCAGAACATCCTTGCATATTTTATTTCATTATTTAATATTTTACATAAAAATTACAATTACAGTATATGGGAATACATACTGAATAGCATTAGATAAAGCGGAGGTCTTGATATTTCAGGCCAGGGTACCACTAGCATGTAATTCACATGTTCTCCCTGTGTTTCTTAGAGTTTCCTCAAAGTGCCACATAAAGGAAACATTTGACAAATAAGCAGGAGTACACAGGCCCCGAAGCACAAGATCAAATGGTATTATACAATGTATGGAAAACAGTGCCAGGCATCTGTTATTATTATTGTATAACACAAGAGAATCTAATTATATTACCCCCAGATGAATGACGAAACATATGAGCAGCACAGTGGCTTAATGGTTAGCACTTCAGCGTTGCTGGTTCAAATCCGAACCACAGTACCACCTGCCTGGAGTTTGCATGTTCTCCCTGTGCCTGTGTGGGTTCCCTCCGGGTACTTCGGTTTCCTCCCACACTCCAAAAGACATGCTGGTAGGTTAACCGCCTCCCGCCCACCATATAAGGTAATGACGGGCGCAAGGTGGTTCTCATATGATGTCCTCCCACTCTAACCGCGTGTGCGGACACAGCGGATCACCGATCAACAGAAAGAGCCGAAGATGCCGGCTCAGTAATGTGATTAGCTGTGTCCAATCATAGCTGATCGCATGTAAATAGGGAAATGCCAGTTATCTGCATTTTTCTCCCTCACGAGCTGTCACGCTGACAGCTCGAGAGGAGAGCCAGTAATCAGCATTCCTCAGAGGGAACATGTACACTGATCATCAGGGCACTGATGATCAGTGTGCCCTGATGATCAGTGTAGCCCCAGCAGTGCCAGCTGTCAGTGCTCATCAATGCCAGCTGCCATTGCCACATCAATGGCTCATATCAGTGCCTACCAGTGCACATTAATGCCACATATCAGTGCCCATCTGAGCTGCCTGTCAGTGCCACCTATCAATGCCAATCAGTGCCGTATGTCAATGCTGCCTATCAGTGCCATATATGAGTGCTGCCTTTCAGTGCCCATCAGTGATGCCTGTCAATGCTCATCAGTGCCACCTACTAGTGCCTCCTCATCAGTGCTTTTCACTGCAGCCTCATTAGCGCACATCAGTGAAGGAGAAAAATCACTTATTTACAAAAGTTTATAACAAAAACGAAGAAAAAAACTTTTTTTTTTTTCAAAATTTTCAGTTGTTTTTGGTTTGTTTAGCAAAAAATAAAAAACCAAGAGGTGATTAAATACCACCAAAAGGAAGCTCTATCTGCCTCAAAAAAAATCATAAAAATATCATATGGGTACAGTGTTGCATGACCGCGCAATTGTCATTCAAAGTGCAACAGCACTGAAAGCTGAAAACTGGCCTGGGCAGGAAGGGGGTATAAGTGCCCTGTAGGCTTGTGGTTAATTGGCTGCTGTCTAAACTGGCCGTAGTGTGTGTAACTATGAATGTGAGTTAGGGACCTTAGATTGTACACCCCTTGAGGGTTACGGACCAATGTGAATGTACAATACATGTATGTAAAGTGCTGCATAAATTGACAGCACTATATAAGTACCTGAAATAAATAAATAATATCAAGGATTGATTAACTGCACTGCGGTTGCAGTTGCATGTACAGGGGATGCAAGAGGTTGACGCTGGCCATACACTAGTAGCATTTTTCATTCTGGGAACATTTGTCCAATTTTCTAATTGTTAATGGGGTAAAATTGACACACTCTCAGCACAGAATAGAGGCTCACCATTGACACATATGGCAGCATATGAAGGCATTAAGGCACACATATGTATTAGGTGGCAGGCAAGAAGTTAATGATTTCATTTCTTTGCTCATGCCTCCTACATAATCATGTTTCTTGCCATTACAGTAGCATACAGCGCAGCTGATTTGCTCACAGTCCTTCTTCCCCCTTCTCTTTTATATAATCTTTATTTATTAAACAAGAGAGCTCTAAGCAAGCGTTTTTACTGAGTGAAACTGATTCATTCAGTATGTATTGTGATTAGCTGTGATTGGCCACAGTTAGTCATATGGTACAGATGGGCTGTGATTGGCCCTGTCTGTACCAAGTGATCACTGTGACCAATCACAGCTTGCAACATAAATTGTACACAATGAATTGCATGAATTGAAGCCATTCATTGTTTACAATTGTCATGTGATCTGCTGTGATTGATCGCAGAGATCACATGGTACTGGCAGCAGGCCGGTACAGTGATCTGTCATCAGCTACGTCCAGTGGATACAGCGGGTGAAAGATTGCACCCTCAGCACGACTACATGCCTGCGAGCAGGGCACGTTCCAGGAGGACGTCCACCCAGACAAGGAAAATCCCGCCCAGGAGTCATTTTGCTATATATACACACACACACACACTTTTATATACAGCCCAAAAGGGTACATGAGCTACGTTGGCCACATATGTCATGCATAGGGCAACCCCCTGAAATAATAAAATAAATCTGGTGCCCTATGTATGAAAAGGTTTAAGAAATGTGTGAACCAGCCTTAAAGATTTTCAGCTAAAATAAACCTGTCAGACAGAAAGAGAGAGAGACAGAGAGAGTGTGTGAGTGTGTGTACACACATACACTGTATATCTACCTGCTGTCTGCCCTATAGCAGATTTACTGCTACAGGGCGGACATACTGAGCTAAATCACATATATAACCATGATTTTGCACTTCCGCCACTGGGTCACACCTGCCGCTGGAGTACTGCTTCTGCTGCGATTGGACACAGCAGAAGTCAATCAACGGTTGCCATCAAATCATGAGTACAGGCAAGTGTTGATTGCTGAGAAGACTGACATAACACAGCTCCGCCTATGTAAGAAAGGCAGAGCTGTGTTATGTCAACGGAGATCTGCTAGATTTTATTCAGGAAATAAAATCTAGCAGATTTCCAATAAAAACAGTACACACAAAAACACTGGCTAGACACACAATTAACCCTTTGATCACCCTAGATGTATAACCCATTCCCAGCCAGTGTCATTATTAGTGACAGTGTATATTTGTAAAACTGATTACTGTAATAGTGTCACTGGTTCCCAAAGTGTCAATTAGTGTCAGACTGTCCACCGCAATATCGCAGTCCCACTAGAAGTCGCTGATTGTCGCCATTACTAGTACTGAAAAAAAAAAATCCAGACGCTAACTTTTGCGCAGACCAATCGATGTACTTACTGGGATTTTTTTTTACTAAACATATGTAGGCAGAATACATTTTGGCCTAAATTTATGAAGAAATTAATTTTTAATTGGATATATTTTATAGAGGAAAGTAAAAAATAGGGTTTGTTTTGGTTTTTTTAATTCATAGCGCATAAAATAAACGCAGAGGGGATCAAATACCACTAAAAGAAAACTCTATTTGTGGGGGGGAATTACAAATGTATGTACAGTGTTGTATGACCGCGCAATTGTCACTTAAAATAACACAGCGCCGTATTGCAAAAAAAAAAAAGGCCTGGCCATGAAGGGGGGAATCTTCCGGAGGTCAAATGGAGAAAGCTAGAGATATTTATATATATATCTGTCTATATGAATTCATCCTCTGCTTCCTACATTCTCCCCCAAATGCCCGCCCCTCCGCCGCCCCATTGGACAGAGCTGCCTGTTGTTCTAGAACGCGGTTATTAGTCCATCTGTGTGATTGGACGCATCCGCTATCCATCAGCCAATGTCTTCCCTCCTCTCTCCAGCTGCAGGCGGGAAGGAGAAGACGTGTCGGTGGAGGGTGGGACGTCGCTCCCCGGCCTCTCGCTCTCCTCCGGCTCCGCACATAGGAAATACATGTATGGGAGAAGCGTAGCTCAGACCCCGTTGCCCCCTGTGTGTTCCCGCCGTGTAGGTAGTCTGTCACACATGGTTTATCAGTGTTGTATACACGGGGGTCACGTATGCGGGCTCCCGTGTGCCGCACCATATTAACAGAGGCCTGGCACTGCTTCCCAGGAAACTGGTGGAACTCCTGTCTATTCCGTGCCTCTACTGACCGCACATAACCGGGGAAACTGTATATCAGTGATACAGATGTACGAGTACAATGTGAGTCCAGCACAGACCCCACACACACACCGGAACCCCCTCCCTCATATGTCCTCCGTCCCCATTCCTCACTGACCTGCTTGTCCCATGCCATAACTGAGAGCTGCACCGGCCATCCAGCCTTCCAGCGGTGTAAACATTGTGCTGTTGTCAATAAAGCTGGGCGGAGCGAACGGTGGGCGTGTTGTCAGCTAACGGGCCAGTCAGTGGGAGCTGCTATTGGCTGTCTGCGGATTTCAAACACTGGAGAGAGACTGAGGGGAGCGGACAGTGGTGACAGCTGGGGATCGTGCAGGGAGAGCCGGGTCTCTCCTGTAGTGACAGCTAGGGGCGGACTGACAACTCATGGGGCCCCCGGGCAATAGGGGATCATGGGGCCCCTGTGTCCTTGCCCAAACTCAAAAAAGCCTATGAAAAAGGTACCAGGGGCATCTCATGGGGCCCCCTACTAACCCCGGGCCCTCGGCAGTGCCCGAGTTTCCAAATGGTCAGTCCGCCCCTGGTGACAGCACTCACATGTGTCCGTGGAAATACAGAGGACTTTTAGCTCTGTACCAACAGCCTTCGTTCCCTGCCTGTTCAATTAGCATCTGGCAATGGGGTGGACGTACTAAAGGTAAATAGACTGGGCACTTGGCAAGAAAAGTTGCACTCACTTTCCTCAGAGCTTAGTGAATGTGGTGAAGCTGTGCTGATTTCCATCATCCAATCATCTGGAGGCAAAATGCTGTTTTTTTTATTTATTGTTAAACTGGAGCTCCACCCAAAAAGGGGAAGTTCTTCTTTAAGGACTGCCCATTAAGGATTGGCACCCGAGGGGAGCGGGTACCTGAATTTGACAGGTACCCGCTCCCACTTCTGCTCCAATCGCCTAAGCGATAAGAAACGGAAGGTGTCCTCCCTCCCTGTAGTCTTTTGGAACACGTAATAGGTCCCAGAAGACTGCAGGACTATTCAGGAGCGCGCAGCGCTACTTGCACATGCGCAGTGGGTACCCGGCTGTGATGCCGCAAACTGTCACAGCCGGGTGCCCGCACTGAAGATGCCAGCCTCCTGGAATACAAGATGGCCGGTGAAACAGGCTGCAGGGGACACACCACGGGACCGAGGGACAGGTAAGTGGCTGTTTTTTTAAAAGTCAGCAGCTACAGTTTTTGTAGCTGCTGACATTTATTTTTTGATAAGTTGAGTGGAACTCCGCTTTAACCTGATTGGATGTTCTTTATAAAGTGAAGCTTCACGGCATTCACTAAGACTTGGTCACATTGTAAAGAATATCCAATCAGGTTAAGGGAAAATAATAATTAAAAAAAAATGAATTTTTGCCTCCACATGATGGGATGATGGAAATCTGGAGAGCTTCACCACATTCACTAAGCTCTGCGGAAAATGAGTGCAACTGCAGTTGCAAAGTGCTCAGTCTATTTACGTTAAGCTCTGGCTCACACCATGAACCACATACAGGTGAAACTCAAAAAATTAGAATATCGTGCAAAAGTTCATTTATTTCAGTAATGCAACTTAAAAGGTGAAACCAATATATGAGAGAGTCTCATTACATGCAAAGCAAGATAGTTCAAGCCGTGATTTGTCATAATTGTGATGATTATGGCTTACAGCTCATGAAAACCCCAAATCCACAATCTCAGAAAATTAGAATATTGTGAAAAGGTACAATATTCTCGGCTCAAAGTGTCCCACTCTAATCAGATAATTAAGCCATAACACCTGCAAAGGGTTCCTGAGCCTTTAAATGGTCTCTCAGTCTGGTTCAGTAGGAATCACAATCATGGGAAAGACTGCTGACCTGACAGTTGTGCAGAAAACCATCATTGACACCCTCCATAAGGAGGGAAAGCCTCAAAAGGTAATTGCAAAAGAAGTTGGATGTTCCCAAAGTGCTGTATCAAAGCACATTAATAGAAAGTTATGTGGAAGAAAAAGGTGCACAAGCAGCAGGGATGACCATTCAGGTCTGGTATGAATTTTAAGAGGAACCCAATGCCAAAATAAAAAAAAAAAACGGCATGGGGATATCCCCCCAAATCTATACCAGACTCTTAGGTTTGGAATGGATTTTGAGGGGAACCCCATGCCAACATTTAAAAAAAAATTATCTGAGCATGCAGGCTGAAGATTAAGTGCCCCCCCCAAACCATAGAACTATACCACGCCACATCCTCAACATGGGCAGGGTGCTTTGAAGTAGGGGGGGGCTCCCGCACACAGCACCTTGTCTTAATGTTGAGGGGACAAGGGCTTCTCCACAACCCTAGGCAGTGGTTAGGAGGGTCTGTGGGCAGGGGCTTATCAAAATCTGGAAGCCCCCTTTAAAAAGGGGCTACAAGATCCCGCCATCTCCCATGTGAATGAGTATGGTATACCTTGTACCCCTACTCACTTACCAAAAAAGTGAAAGTAAAAACTCAACAGCAGTTTTTGACAAGTCCTTTATTGAAGAAAAAAAAAAAAAAAAAAACAATCCAGCGTCATGACCACTGCTGCCAGCCCGAAAAAAAAGGTCTGCACACTGGCTCCCGCCATCTGACAGCTCTGCCGCCTCCCGCTGCTCAATAAAGGGGCATGGCTCGCTCACCCCTCCTCCCGCTCTTTCCTGGCCTACCAGGTTGCATGCTCGAATAAGGATCTGGCATTAATTTTGCAGGAGAGGGGGGCACGCCATTTAAAAAAAAAACACTTGGTGTGGGGTTCCCATTAAATGCCATACCAGACCCAAAGGATTGGAGGGAGACACCCCATGCTGTTTTATTTTCCTGTGGAACCCGCTGATAGCTGATCAGCCATCGGTTGTTAAGGACGTGGGTGGCCACTGACCAGCCTGCTCCTTAACAACCAGCTAAATGCCAGAAAAATGCCTGTACAAAAACTGCTGGAAATGCTAATATTAACGTTTTTTATCCAGCATTTTTCCTGCATTTTTTACAGCTCCTTCCTAGTGTGCATGGAGCCACAAGTACACACTTTGGATATGCTTTGTTTATATTTCATGTCCAAGATTTACAACCACTTTAATGCAGTATGGTTAAAGAAACATTTTAACTTTAGAATAACTTCAGCTAACACTTTAAGCAGTTACAGCAAAAGTTTTTCTTCTGGAATAAAGGTATTATACAGTGTTACTAAACCCACAGTAAAATCAGGCTGTATATGCCAGGCATCACTAAATGGTGGACCGCGGTCCAAGTGACAGTCCTGTCTGGACCACGGCCACACCACTTAGCAGCCTGAGTGGACTCCTCTCCTGTTGCTGCAGCTGTTAGTAATCGGAAGGAATGGCAGGGTGGACTCCTGTCCTGTATGTACTCTTCTGCCGCAGCCATCATCGCCGCTGTTGTTGAATTCCAGCAGGGAAGAGGGCAGGAGGAAGCAGCAGCAAGCCGTTACATTCAGAAGAGAAGTTCTTCCTTCCATTCCTCTCGCCCTCTTCCCTATTGTGATTTCAACAGCAGTGGCGACTACGGCGGCAAGTGAGTACATACAGAACAGGAGTCCACCCCGCCATACCTCCAGCCCTCCACAATGCGTTAAGGTATGGGGAAGATTATGTGGTAGAGGGGGCTGTGATATCAGAGGGGGGATCTGTGATATTGGGGGGCTGTGATATGGGGGTGCTGTTAGGGGGGGGCTGTGATGAAGTGAGAGGGGGGAGCTGTGATATGGGGGGCTGTGATAAGAGGGAGTTGTGATGTGAGGGGGGAAGTACTGGGGGGCTGTGATGTAGGATACTGTGATATGGGGGGCTGTGATGGGAGTTGTGATGTGAGAGGGGGAGTTGTAGGGGAGCTGTGATATGGGGGGCTGTGATAAGAGGGGAGTTGTGATGTGAGAAGGGGAGCTGTGATGTGTGGAGAGCTGTGATATGGGGGGGCTGTGATAAGAGGGAGTTGTGATGTGAGAGGGGAAGTTGTAATACTGGGGGGCTGTGATGTGAGGAGAGCTGTGATATGGGGAAACTGTGATATTAGAGGGGGAGCTTTGACACCGAGCGGCCGCATATTTGAGCACCATTTGAAAACACATACAGGGCGCGTGCTCTCAGCACATATGTCAGTATCTCACGGAAAGGTCCCGATCTCTGCTTGCGATTGGGACCTTTTCCAATTATGTGGCCGCAGTGACAGCGAATCACGGCGGTCACATGACCCTAAAACCCCACTCCACCTCCTGGCGTCTGAAATCCCTTAAAGGGCCAAGAGGTGCCTGCGTGAAGAGATTAACTAAGGGAATGCTTATTTCACTTTGGGTGAAAGCAGCTTAACAGCAAGGGAAGATGCACGTTTTTGAATTGGTTATTTATTAGTGGATATGATATTAATATACTGGTTGGACGGTATATCATCATTTCACATAACGGCTTAGTTCGTAGCCGCTACTGTATTGAGAACAGTTTTTTATACAATAGATTCTGGCTGTTCCTCCAATGAATGTTAGGACAAAATATCAGCAGAAGCAGCAGTTCAAGTAGTGGCAAGCAAGATGGCACAGATGAAAAGTGCTTTTGGAAATATAGACAATAAATCACACTATGGATAGCTGAGCAGTCATGTCACAACTTTTAGTAGTGCAGTTATTCCACCATCATTGCAGGCCTCAGCTCAGCCTTATTAAACACTAGCCCACATGGGGAGCAGGCTATCACTGATCATAGCTTTCACTCAGCACCAAGCAGTAATTATGTTGCATCTCACTGCACTCCTGGCAGGTAATTCCATCTCTCGATCATTACCGTAAATGTTGCGCTGCTTACACAGCTGCTTGATATCTTACCGTGATTCTGGTGGGTCTTTTCATCCCCCAGTCCTTTGCCAACAGTTAATCCTCATGCACATTGGACATTTTTACAGCTGCTGTTTTTTTTGGCTTTTGACATTTTTTTCTACAGCCAGTAAACCCCCCAGCATGTTATCCTATGTGCCCATGCACACATAGACTGTAATCAATATTTTTTGACAGGAGCGTTTTTTGGCTGAAAAAAAACCCCCAGAACTAGTGGGTTTCTAGAGGAGTTTTTTAGCTGTAAAAACGTTCTAATGCAGTAAATCGCAGGCAAACTGGCGTTTTTGGACTTTTTCTGGTTAAAAAAATGCGAACGCAAAAAAAGCGGCTAAACGCTAATGC